GTAGTCACCACGTGGCATTGCGGTACTGGAATAATTGACGGGGTGAGGGGTGGTGGGTGTCATAAAATTCCAATAAAGTGTCTCTTTAACACGTAGGCTTTCACGAACAATATAATCAATAATAGAGGTTTTTGGTTAGATCGCGTAAATATGTAAATGTATCGTTAAAACCCGCCACCACCTCTCCAACACACCGGCTAGTGCTGTACTAGTGACGAATTGGCACGTTCTGCTTACGTGACAACCCGAACTCGTTGGCTGTGTCGGGTGGTGGCGGGTTTTAACGACACATTAATATAAATTTACGCAATCTAACCCCAAAATAAAATTAACCCGTAAAAACAAAGTTTTTCACTATAAATCCTTTATATGCGTGGCGGCTAGAGTCCTCTCGTCCTCTGGCTTGAGATGGCTGCCACCTATGGGTCTGATGATTGTCTGGCAGCATTAAGCAATAGGTAATTAAATATTAATTTATTTTTCCCTAAACAGTGTAAAATTTTGGAAAAAAAATTTCACGAAAATTAATTGTCACGCACAACGAGTCTGTGTGCAAAATGTCAGCTCGATTGTATCACGGGAAGTGGGTTAAAAAACGACCGAAAGATTTGCACGGTCGTAAGCAAGCACGCAAGCAAGCAAGCGAACTTAATATAAAGGATTTAAAAACCCCTCTATTATGAAAGTGGCTCTTCTTGTTCTGCTTGCCCACACCCTGCCGCTAGCGGGAGAAAGCGTCAGATCACACTCCGTAGATTCCGAATCTCTTTCCCTTCCGAAGGATGAGACCCGACGGACGGAATCACCTCCGCTCGTTTCTTCCTGTGGTCCGTGGCGTTCGCTTCCCGTGCAGCTAACTTTGTCCCTTGATGTGAAGCTTTCGTGACTGCAGGAATCCATGCCCTTTGGTTCTTTCGGTAAAGTCACGTAGTTAGAAATCAAACAAATCGCGACGTTTCGATCGCAACACAGGCGGTCTTCATCAGCCAAAGGATCTGATGACGACCGCTTGTGTTGCGATCGAAACGTGTCGATTTGTTTTATTTTATTTCTAACTACGTGACTTTACCGAACGAACCAAAGAGCGACTTTGTCCCCGTTAGATTCTCCCCTCTGCTCCTTATCCTCTCCGCCGTAGATCCACCTCGTTTCGCCGACGGTCCCGAACCTCTCGCTCGCTCCGCGTGGCATCGGCTTTTGGCTGCTAAGCCATCGAACAAAGGCGGCGGTCACCGCATCAGATGCGCTTCTGAGGCCGTCTGGAACGCTCTTCCGATGTTCGGAAGCCATTGGGAGCTATGCATTTTTAAATATTCAACTAGATTGACAAACTCATTTCTTTAGAACTAATTTTTTTTGTGTATAGTTTGTTGTCCTTTCACACCCTCCCCCCTCCTCCCCACCTCCGATTAGGGCGGTTGGCTACATACGGTGTGAAATAAGTCCAACATACATACACATACATAGAACATACATACAACATACATACAACATACACACAACATACATACAACATACATACACACATACATACAACATATATACAACATACATACATACACACATACATACAACATACATACAACATACATACACACACATACATACAACATACATACAACACACATACATACAACATACATACAACATACATACACACACATACATACAACATACATACACACATACATATATATACAACATACATACAATATACATACATACACACACATACATACAACATACATACAACATACATACATACAAAACACATACAACATACATACATACAACACACAGACATGGCAGTGCCATTCGGCCACCACCGATGATGCCAGATTGTTGGTCTCCGTTCTGCTTAGTTTAGGCATCTGTATTTATTTTTGCTCAAAATGTAAAAAAAAAATAACAACATCTGGTCTATTATTGTGAAGGGGTCCTTGTTGTTGTTGTTGTTTTTTTCACAGAGGATTCTGCAAACGCCTCAACTCGCCTCAACGCATTCTGTGGAGGCCACAGACAAACGGGGCAGCAGCTGCGCTTTAAGTTAATGTTGCCATCATGTTTGTTGTTGTTGTTGTTGTTGCTGCAATTACTCCACCCGTGTAATTAAATTCCCGGCCACGAACGGAAAAGCTATGAAAACGGATTCTCCTTCCCCCCCCCCTTTTTTTTCGTTCGACAGCTTCGGCAATGAGCCACACTTACCACCACCACCACGCACAACAAACGGGAGGGGGGGGGGGTCCTTTGTTGTATAAACATCTGGCTCACATCACACCGCGTTGCAGTCTTCGAGAGCGAACAGATGCGGCCGATACTGGTTCGCCGTCGAGCAGCTTGCTTTCTGCTCTGCTCGTGTGGTTTTTTTCTTCAAAGCTATTCCGCATCCAAGTTCAAGTTCATTTATTAGGTATAGCCCTGTGAGCCATTCGGCTCTTGAATCGGGTGCAACCGCAACAAACAAAAAACAAAAACATGAACGAAAAACATCTTAAAGTGAATATGTGACTAAGTGCAAACAGAAAATCCAAGAAAAGACAGCAAAATATTGCAGAAAAAAACACCGTACACCAACGCTGTCAATTCAAGGGCTTCGTTATTTTATTTTAATTTAACATTTTTTTTTATTTTTTATAAAAAGTATACAAATTATTCCCGGACAGAAAACTTTAATTTGTATGCCCGCCGCGTCCTTTGGATTTCCAGTAGTCCATGTTCCATCGACACACACACACGACACACACACACGACACACACACACACGACACACACACACGACACACACACGACACACACACACGCGCGACCAACGTTGCGGCAACACTTCAATTTTGCACGATGCTGAAACTCCCGCGACGAAACCAACACGGGAGAGAGAGAGAGCGGTATTTTTTTATTATTATTTCACAGCCGTTATGTAAACGGAACTAAAGTGATGGCCAAGTAGTTTTTTTCTCTCTCTCTTCTTAAATTAATGCAGACCACCTCCACGCACCAAATTGACATGCCCAGAATAGAATTGACAATGTGATTTTGGCTTTTTAAAGCTACGTGCAAAAACGTGGCATTTATATATTTTAAAAAAGCCGGTTGGGTATCAACTTCTGAGTCAGTGAATTAAATTGGGGGGGGGGGGGGGACACACCCCCCCTCCCCCCCCCCCAATATTCGAATATTCTCAAAATGTCCCCCCCCAATATATTGCTATAAAATAGATTTGTTTATATGATTGTGGTTATGGTTGTACTTTATTAATCCCTAATCTCTGCCATTACATACAATGAAACAAGAAAAGGTAAAAAAACAGAGCAATGTAATACAATACACTATTAGACATTGTAAAACATACATAAAAAGTCCATCCTGTTAGTGAATTTTTATTATATTTTAGGCAGGAAATGGCAGGATATTCGTTTTCAAATTTAGATTTTTTTTCTGGGGGGGGGGGGGGGGCCCAGACCCCCTGGAAGATTTGGTCCCCCCCAATGTTGACTCCATGGCTACGGGCTTGTTCCTACTTATCTGGCCAGCCTGGATGAGTAGGCGAATGTGCCCTCTTAAAGGGTCTCTCTGCAATTCCCCTACAGTTAAAGTCTTTCCACCAGCAGTAGCGCCAGCGAGCAGGGCTGCACTTATTATCTTTGATGCTGTCGTAATTGTGCCTGGACATTCGTCTTTGGACCAATGTCTACCATGCACTCTATTGAAGCCCCCAGCAGCGAGTGATCGAGTGGCCTCAAGCACATCCAAAGACACAAAGATCGCCCGTGTAGCCTTAACAGACTGTTGGGGCAAGTGCTGTTAGCGAGCACCTATGAAGGCCAGCACGGCACACGAGGGGGTGGGTGACCAACACCACGCCCGACCGCCTTTGTCTCCCGAGTGACGAATTTTACACACCGCACCAGGTACTCATTTGAGGCCGAGTCGACCTAGGGGAGGCCCAGGACCGGTTCAGATATTCGTCAATGGTGTTGGCAGTGAGCGGGAATCGAACTCGGGTCGCCAGGTTCGTATCGCAGCGCGCTAACAACACCGCTCCCCATAAAAAAGCACCTCCACACACACTCACACTTGGAGAGGAGCAACACGTTAGATAATATTGGTAGGAACCTCCTGGTTACACCAGCCCACAGGGGATTATTGTGTCTGTCGTGCAGGGAGGAGCTGGGTGGGGAGGGAGGGGCTGGGTGGGGTGGGGGCTGGGTGGGGAGGGTGGGGCTGGGTGGAGAGAGGAGGGTGGGGAGGGGCTGGGTGGGGCTGGGTGGGGAGGGGCTAGTCACCCCGTGGTGCCCTTATAAAACTCAACGTTTAACCTACTCACGCCGGCTTGTACCCGCCCTCACAGTCGGGCATATTTGCGGAATACACCACGCCGCCGTTGACCCTGACCATTGACCGAGCAACCCAACCTTCCTACCAGCTCCCTCCGCAGGAATGTGTTTTGATGGTGCATACCTGGTTTGAATGGGGCGTGTGCTTTTATCTGGCAAATGCATTTGGTGAACGATAATTTCCTGAGCTCTTTCCAACTCCTTGGCTTTGTGGGCACCATTTGAAGAGTGATCATATAGCTGTGGGGGTGGTCTTATGGGACAGAGGAGTCTTTTTTGTTGGTCAAAGCAATTACTTTGTCAAAAGCTTTCCCAATTGAGCCATGGGATTACTTAAATGGAATGTTCCCCACTATTTTAATCATCATTATGGACCAGTTTTACTGCCAAGTGGTGGCTTGGGAATTTCTAAAACGGATTATAAACCTACAATCGTGGGTAGTTTGTGTGGACTTCACATCCCCAACAAGCGGTTGTTTTGAATAAACATTCGAGGTTATTCATTTGAGGTGTCCTTTTTTTCTGTACATTTGTGGTTTTTTATCTGACTCTCACGGACACATCGTGACACTTGAATATTTTGAGTGCAAACCTATTTGGCAGATTTGAATGACTGAGGACCGGATGAATTATTCACAACACTGATAAACAGACTCGTTTCATGAAATATTAAATAACTTTTATTCAGCACAATTCTACAGCTAAGAAAAAAATGCATTTAAAAGCCTACGGCATCATCCCATAAAACTCAGGAAGGAAACTGAAGAATCCAATTTACATTGTACAAGATTCCAAAAAAAAAAACAAGCCTTGAATATTACAATTCAAATATAACAGAAATAATCTTAGAAACAGAATATACAAAAGAGTCGCTCTAAAAAAATCCTAATTTATATTAATACTAAAAACAGTGTGTTCGAGTATGTACAAGGTGACGATTTGGAAGCTTATTCGGGGGAAAGGGTTGAAAATTAACACGTGAAGTACAATACAAACAAGTGCTCAAAAAACGAAGTGTACACAATTCCAAAAAGCACGCCCCGCAAAAAGGTGTTCGAGGTAATCGCACTCAGTCCCGGAGATCGTCACGTGACAAAATATGCAGCACATGAACCTTAAAAGTTCTGGAATTCTGCCATCGGGTTGCAAACGTCTTTGAATTGCAACAACACAAAACAAACCAAAACACGGAACGGAGAAGACCCAAGAAAAGTATTCGAACAATAACCACGGCATTGCAATCTTTCACCCCGGGCTCAGACACTAACAGTACGAGCGAATGCAGTGAAGACAAATTAGTGTATTGTCGTTTCAAACCCTGAACATGCATCAAAAGCGTGCAGTTTTATTACTAATATTCTTATTACGGTTTATCCATTTTTATTACACTTTATCCTTGTTAAAAAATATATATTCTTCTGGATTGTTTGCTGCAGGAATTTGGAGGTAGGACATTTGCAGCAGCAGCAGCAGCAGCGATTTCAGGTCTTGAAGTATTGGCGAATTGTTACCAGCCATCGTTGCCGCGGAAATAATGCAGAGTTGATCAAGTGTAGTGGTGACGTCTGACAACAATATTAACATAATTAATTAAACCTATTTGGATGGGACTTACTCTTTAACGCGTAGTAGGTTGTCGCAACCAATAGTATCCGTAGGTTTTTTGGGGGGGGGGGGGTTGGATCGCGTAAATATAAACCCCGCCACCACCCGACACAGCCAATCAGTACAGTTTTGTCACGTAAACAACAGATGCCAATTCGCTAGGAGTTCAGCACACCGGTTGTGTGTTGGAGACTAAACCCACAACATTTACAATTGTTTACGTGACAAACCTTACTAATTGGCTGGGTCGCGGGGTGACGGGTTTAATGAGACATTGATATTCACTCGATCTAAACAAAACAAAAAAACTCTACTGTTGCTTTGTTTACATTTGGAAAGTTGCGGTGGTGCTTATATTCCCCACCCCTCCCGCCCAAAGAATAATCCCATGAAATATTCTTGAATTCATTAATCGAGCCGGTAAATGCAACATCCAATGGCTCTGTTAATTTGTAATTTGTCATATGGGATATTACATTTTTTTCCCCCTTTACATTTGCAATACATATTACTTAGAACTATTAAAACACTACCCTGCCTGCTCAAACCAATCCACACCACGTTGGGGCTTTTTTTGTTTGTTACCTTGAATTTACCCAAGCTCACACCTCTCAGCTGACAAGTTTCGTCGGGGAGATTTGCATTGAAAAAAATTCGATTCACCGCCGGGGCGAGTCGGGGTTGGGGGGGGGGAGATAACAAGACGGGAGCGCCACGCAGATTTCAAAACGGCAGGGTCGGGTATGGACGAGACAGATCGGACATGGGGGTGGGAAGACGGCTTGGACGAGACAGATCGGATATGGGGGGGAAGACGGCGAGGAAGAGACAGATCGGACATGGGGGTAGGGGGGGGATAGGGAGAAGGCTATGAATGACTCGCAAAGCTCCGATATTGCAGCACAACAAATTCCGAGCAGCAGCCGATTGCCATCCACAAATCCCGGTTGCCTCTTCCTTTGCAACCGGCGGCGTCACCCGAATCCCCAAAACGCGGCATATAAATCCCCACAACTGCGCGCCCTTAAATTTGCAAATAGGAAACTAATTCTGTGCTACCCCCCCCCTCCGCCCGCCTCTCCTCCGCAGAAAGGGCCGGGCCCAATGTGTTTCCTGAGTGAAATTTGCTGCGGCATTCCACAAAAACCAGAGAGAGAGGATAACAACAATTACATTCACAGTTAGGGGAGGGGGGGGGGAAGAGGGAACTAGGGTGCCGGTGTGAGTTGGGCGATCACGCTGAACTCTTCCCTTGAACGTAAGTGCACTAAACAACGGTCATCATCACACAGAACGAGTGAAATTCCGTAAAATGAGAAAGGGGCAGGGCGGGGGGGGTTAAGAGGAGGAAAGTGCGTATGTTGGGGGCTATCAATTATTTACCTTGGAGGGCAGGTCACGAGAACATCGTGTTTTTTTGTCTTCTAGGAAAGCCAGAATAGGCACTCAAAGAGATCTACACTTTGCACATTTTGTTTCCCCAACTCCACCACTCACCCCTATAAATGCCAAGCAATTAACGAATGTCGCACATTATAAGCAACGTATTCAGACGGCATTCCATAAGCAGCCCAATAATCATGCTCGAACGGGACGCAGTTTTTTGTTTGTTCGTGTCGGACTCAAAAAGAGAAAAGGGGCCGAGATAACGCGGCAAAGAGTTACACAACGCTTCCGAGTGACAATGCAATTCCCTTTGATTTACTCTCGCCAGGTTTACGCCATCAGAAAGTGAACATGGAGATGACCCCTGACCCCCCCCCCCCCCCCGTCGTGGGACAACACGTGGGAGGTCAGTGAACATCCCCTCTCGTCGATTTAATTCCTTTCACTGATTTGCACGTCAATACCGGCGGCGGTGGGGGGGGGGGGCGTCACCTTTTGGCCACGGACAAAAGAAAAAAACCCTCCTCACTCGCCCCTCTTGACGAGCGGAATGAGGCCGTCAAGGGATGAAGCATCAACCGATCACGGTATTGTCCGTTACCTGGAAGCCTGCGGTCGGCTGAAGAATTTCAAACGCTCGCCCCCACAAACTTACTTCGGTTTGTTTTCTTTCGCCACGGTCGTGTTATCGGCTCGCGGAACGAAACGTCGGACACGGGGAGAGGGAGGGGGGCGTTGCAACAAAGCGTGCAACGTTAACTCCCCGAAAGCGCGTCGGAGAGATTTCGCCCCGGTTTCTCTCCCCAAAATTGTTCCCATTTTGAAAAGTGTCTGTGATACTTTGCTCGCTGCTGCTGCTGCACCGGGCACCACAAGCACGAGGTGATGCCATGCCCCCATCTGCCATTCGGTCTCGGCGGTGGCCAAAGTCGCCGCTGCCAATTATGCCAAGAATCCCACAGACAGTGATACTCCAAAACGCTCCTGAACCTTGCAAACATCACGGGGGTTCGGCTCTCCGATGTGCTTCAGGGTCGGTGCCGCGCGGCGGTGCGGATGTCCGACGTTTCGCTTCAAGCGCTCGCAGCTTCAACGGGCAACTGGATTCCTCACGCGGCACAATCCGACAGAACAGAGGTCGCAAACGGGTTTTGATTCCTTACCCGTACCCATACCCGGCCGCACCAGGGTCGCAAACGGGTATCGGGTATCTGATTGCGACCTCTGGGATGAAGCCATGTTGCAGGCGCGGGTGGGTTGATTCTAGGAACTTGAATTGTGAGAAGAGACAAGACGTTGGGAAATGAGTGACAAACGGTTACTCACCAGTGACTCACGGTCTACCCGTACCCGGCCGCACCAGGGTAGCCGGGTATCGGGTAGGGTACGGGTATCGGGTACCCGGTTGCGACCTCTGCCGCGGAAAAAAAAACCTGCGCAGTCCGAGTCCCAGCCAGGGGACTTGGCGTGGGCAGAGAATATGTTTTTTAAGGGCGCAGTGGCGTTGCGTAGACTCGGGAGTGATCGCTTGGCCTGCTAATCGATTGCCACGGTGCACTGATCCGACGCTTCTTCGGAAACAAACGCATATGGCGAAATAATTAGGGGGTGTTTTTGTGTTGTTGTTAATGTATGTACATTTTTTTACTGCGATATACATATTCTTTAAAATTTTAATCGTGAACGTACGTGGGTGTCCAAATCTCAAAAATAGCGGCAGGTGCTTAAACGGAATAGCTGATGATTTATAATTGACCTTTTTGGCGTCGGATCATGTAAATAAAATGTGTCGTAAAACCCTCCTCCACCCCAAGCGGCAATGAATAAAGTTGTCACGTGGACAAACGTGCCAATTTATTACTGCTTTAGCAGCAGCACCACCAATGATGTTGAGATGGCAATCTCAACATTTAACAGCTGATTTTCCTCTCATCAGCTGATGGTTACCATCATCAGCTGGGGGTTATTCTCATCAGCTGTGGTTACCATCATCAACTGGGAGTTATTCTCATCAGCTGGGAGTTATTCTCATCAGCTGATGGTTACAATTATCCGATGGGGGTTATTCTCACCAGCTGGTTACCATCAACAGCTGATGGTTACCATCATCAGCTGGGTTACCATCAGCTGGGGGTTATTCTCATCAGCTGATGGTTACCGTCATTAGTGGGAGGTTATTCTCATCGGCTGATGGTTACTATGGCTGCGATTGCATGACTTGGAAGGAAAAAAAGTTATATTTTTCGTGACAAATTCTAAAACAATAGTTTTGATCAGTTTTTTTTTGTTTGCCCAATGGAGAATTACGAGGGGGGGGTATTCCTATTCATTGCGTTTTTATTTTTTACAACCGGCTTCTGCCATCGAAAGAAAAAAAACGCGGGGTAAACAATAAATAGCAAGAAAGTGGGAATAATAAGCTGCATGCACGGACCATACCTTTACAAACTAGCGAACGAGTACACTTAGTTTAAAAACCACTAAAAGTCACTAATATTTCGAGTGAAAAATAACTTACCAATATTCAAGACCATAATTTATTGAATGCTGTGAACCGAAAAATATTCACACAAATTACAATTGAAGTCAAAAGAAGACAGGTATAGATTAATACATATAATAATTTTTTTCCGCCCCAACTACTACACACAAGAAGCCGCGGGCGATTGTGTAACCCCCTCCTCCTTCTCCTTAAAGCTGCGATACTTTTCGCTTGTGGGCCCTTTTGTCCAAGACAGGAGATCAATTAGACGTTGAGCACGAGTGAGTGATTTTGGCAACAAATACAAGTCGGACAAGGGAAGGGGTTATGGTGGGTCGAGGTGGGTGGAGAAAGGTGGGTGGACGAGGTGGGTGGACAAGGTGGGTGGACGAGGTGGGTGGACGAGGTGGGTGGACAAGGTGGGTGGACAAGGTGGGTGGACGAGGTGGGTGGACGAGGTGGGTGGACGAGGTGGGTGGACGAGGTTGGTGGACAAGGTGGGTGGACGAGGTGGGTGGACAAGGTGGGTGGACGAGGTGGGTGGACGAGGTGGGTGGACGAGGTGGGTGGAGAAGGTGGGTTTAGGTGGGTGGAGAAGGTGGGTGGGTGGTGGTGTGAGCAAACGATTGATACGTGACAGATACCATACAAGAATATCAACCATTGAATCGGGAGTATTCTCTCGATGCCAAAAACGGGCGACCCGCATATTAAACGAGGGGGGGAAGGGAGGTGTGGGGAAATGTCAATGGCATTGGGGAGGGCGCAGAGTGTGGAGCAAAAGATATCAAGCCGCCGTTATCCGGCCTTCTGATCTTGAAAGACTCAAAAAGACAGTCATGGACATACAGAACAACAAGTGCTAGCTGTTGAGAAATGGCAAGTGCTTTTTTTTCCCTACTAAATGTTTATACTTTACAAAAGGTTGTTTTTTTGTTTGTTTAACCTTGACTTTAAAGAAGAAAAAAACAGAAACTAGACTCCTGAGTTGCAGACGAATGAAAAAAAAGCATTTAACGGCAATAAAAAATATAACATTCACTTTTAAAAATAAGGATGGGCTGTCATTATCTTTAACTCTTTCAACATACAACCTTCCCACTGAATGGTACAGAGGTCATCGGTAAAGTGTGAGTTTGCGCCAGGTTCATTCTCCGCGTGCCGGTCCGTCACCTACACTTACAGCCCCCTCCACAAGTACCCTGGACCATGAATCAAAGTGTACCAGGTTGACAACAACAACAACAAAAATGAATTAAAACACTGCTCCTAAAAATTATAATAATAGGAATTAAACACGGCTCCTGATCGCTTTCCAGGAAACACGTACAGACCATTTTTCCCATTTTCCGCGTCGGAAGGCTGAGAGAGCGCGCGCGCAAAAAAAAAAACAACCCGCCTGCCACTTTTTTTTTAAGAGGTAGGGGTCTGTAAAATAACAGACGTTGAACGTTGACGGCCGAGACGCGCTGTCTGGTTGAATCGTAAGCGGATCACAAGACGCGGGGTTTAATTATTTGCTGCAGCGACGGGGACGTGTGCGTTCGTGGCCAAGACGATTTGAACGTATCCGGGAATTGCATTATTTTTTTAAATCCATCTCCCCCCCCCCCCATCCAATCTCGTCACGTCGGAAAAGCCGCGAGCGCACGGCACTTTTCAGAAGGGAGCCTCCGGTGAAAATACAAAGAGGTCTGAGAACATCCCAAATTCATAACAAGTCGTGGTCCGCGCTTGCCCTCCGGCTACAAATTGGGGGGTGGGGGGTCGCTTCTTGGCTCATTTGGGAATGTGTTTACTGCCTTTCGGTGTGCAGAGGTGTGAATGTACAACAAAAGAGACGACCTCGGGTGGAATATTTAAGCACCGCAGTTTTTTGACAAAAAAACGGCAACAACAAAACATTTGTCATGGCTCAGCACGACGTTTTAAGCGAGTTTCCCTTGTCACCGTTTTTTTTGTTGTTGCGACTAATACCCAAAAGGCTGTTGCCAGATTCTCTGCACCACAGGCGCTGGTCCATTACTGACGGGAAACGTATACATAATTGAAAGACGGGGGCGGGCGGGCGGGTGGAAGGGGGTGAACAAAAATAAGCGGGATGAGATGAAAACCGAAATGGTGTGGGGCTTCGCGTGCTATATATTTGCATCAATTGAGACCAGGTCGACAATTCCGTGCTCTTAAGCCGGAAGCATGCTTGAGCTATTTGATTCGTTTTAATTTTTTCCTAACCCCATCCGCCCTCCCTCCCTCCCTCCTCCACACCAAATATAATATTCCTTGCGGGAACAGTGCTCTCCGAATGTAACGAGCCCTAAAAGTTTAGGAAATCTCGTTCGTTTCCAGAGGCGCCGTGATGCCACGAAAGCCATCGCCGTTCTCCTTGCAAGGACCGGCGCGCGCGAGTTCTCGTCGACGCGGACTTCACACGACTCGTTAACATTTTGCGCCAACGATCACAGGGACACATTTCGGCTGTCGCTATTCCGAGAGGTAACTTTTGCCCTGCTGTAGACTCGCCCGGAGGTGCTGCGTTTCAGGATGTAGCCGACATTTCCCAATGCAAATAACCAGCAGGAAAACGATTCTTTCGAGACGATCGGACGGCAAATGGTTAATTTAAAAACCACTTCACTTGCACGTCCTTTACGATAATTGCAAATACCTCAAAGCCGCCCCGTCTAATCCGCGCACATCTGCAACGGCCTTGCATTCATTACACGGTGCCACTGTGCATAAGCGTCGCGAGAAATATTGCTGCCGAGACACAAAATGAATGTAACGCAACGAGATGCACACATCCCCACCCCTCCCCACGTGGTGCACACACACACACGCTGGAACTGTGTGAAAACAAAACGGGCGTCTTCCCCGGCTGGATAGCAGTGGATATCCGTGGCGTAGTTGCCACAAAACATCTTGGGTTGGCCGCTAAATATATCCCACCTACAACGATTCGTTAAGCAGGGAATTGGTTTTGCATTAAGACAGCCGAATGATTCAAGCGAAATGACCGATGGATATGTAGCCAGGGTCTGCACACCAATGATTTAATCCACGACGGTTCATCCCCGAACAGGGTTTCACCTACCAGAACGGCATTGCCGTGGGTTCAAGCAGCAGGGGCTTGTTATTCGATGGCCACTCTCAAAACGATCACGCGGTATTGTTAAACTGCTTCACACACGCGCACATTGCACGTGTAGGCACAGGAGTGTAAATGCATATGCGTACACGCACGCACGCACACGTGTGTACACACACACACGACCTACGGGGGACATGAACAGACTTGTCAGAGAGCGATCGGGGGGGGGGGGGGGGGGTCGGGGAACCTAAAAACGGGACAAAATTTCCCTAAACGGTGATGGGGGTATGTTTTTTTTTTCGCACGCCTTCTGTACACTGAAATTTCCTGCTTTTACCCCCCCCCCCCCCCCCTTTGCCAACAACCTCACCCACATCTGCATGACATTGCAGGAGAGTCAAGAGGTCAATGTTATATAACTGTATTGCCGGCATGCTTAGTGGCCTCTATTAATCTTATTAATCTTCTTCTTATTGTTGTTGTTGTCGTCACCGAGCTCAGCAGCGTTGCATCGAGTGTGGCCGAATCTGCCGCACGGAGAAATTATTTCGCCAGCGGGAGGGCGAACGCACTTGCATGGAGAGATGGGCCCGGCTGCCTCCCCCCCCCACCACTCCCTTGCCGAGCCCCGATGAATCCCCATCGTGCGCGCAGGACGACAAGGGGAAGTCGATGCCGGCCCTCCCGTGCATGAGGTAAACCACGTGGACAAGCCACCGCTATGGAAAATAAAATTAAATCCTACAAAAAAAAAGAACACACGTCTACGCGATGATAATAATAATAATTGTGACGACGACGACGACGACGTTCGTGAAAGATACTAATAACGACGATAAGAACGAAAGAAAAACTAAAAACAAAAAAAAGTAACCAATGGTTTTTTGAGGTAGATTCTTTCTTTTTTCTTCTGAAGAGACCATGGAACGCACTACTTTATGCGTGCTTTGTGTAAACGAAAAAAACTCCCCCTCCTGTGAAAATGTTTTCTATCCAAGTGTAAAAAATTCCAGACTACATCGACAGCCTTTTACAGTGATCTACAATTATTACCAAATAAATAAGATATAATAATTATACCTTCACAATATTACCAGAGAGGAAATATATCATAGAGGAAGGGGGGGGGGGGGGAAATACAGACGAAATAACCTTTAAAGCGAATATAACTAGCAAAGCAGTTTAGCAAGCAACATAATAATTTATGCAATTTAACAATGACCTGCTGGTTTTGTAAAAGAACATCAAATCAGGAACGCGAGTATTCTGTGCGCGAGTATTCTGTGCGTGCGTGTGTGTTTGTGTAAATGAGAGTGTATTTGGGCTTCAGGATGGCCCTCGAGAGCCTTCAACTTGTACGCCGCACGAAACAACAATTGTGAAAGGGAGCCACTACACAGATGCTTTGCTTGCTTTGTTTGATGGCAACCTATTTTCTCCCCCCCCCCGCCCCTACAACGCACCTGTCACAATTTGGGTCACCCCCCCGCCGCCCCAAAACATGTATCGGTGAATTAATAGCGACATGAATTGCCACCATCACGCACGCGCGCAAGCGTGCGCGCGTGCGTTCGCCGGTACGATTGGACTTGGCAGCGACAGCAAGGGGAGCAGGTGGATCCCGAGTGCGCCGGTGTACGTGCGGCGTAGTCACAACAACGTACACGCCGTGTACGTGGACACGCACAGAGCACGTGTGTACACGGTGTGCGATTGAATAAGCCGCGTGCGCACTGCGCGCGAAATCGTGAGCGCGCGGGGTACGCGCCGCGAGCGAGGACAGGTGCCCACTGCATCGTCGTGCCTTGAAAGCGTGGTGGGGCCCGTACCAGAGCGGTGATGTATGACATTACGCCTCGGTAGGAGACGAAGCACGTGGACGATCTGCGCGCCGATTACCCAACGACGACCTGCGCAAATATTTAAATTGCGCCGGGGTCTGAATTGGTCCAACTCCGATTCGCTAAGGGAATTTGAACATTTTCAATTGCTCTTAAGTTAGGAGAGGAATTACGGGTGACGGGGATTACCCGTAAGTCGATTGTCAAAGCCAACTGATAATAGTATAACGTAATTAATGACAAATATGAATAACAGCAAATAACGAAAATAATCTACAGAAACGTACTTTCTTCAGCCACAGACACACTGAAGCGCACGCAGCGATGATGTCACAGTGGCCACGTTGCATGGGGGTTGCTTTCCTGGCAGCCGATTGGCTGCCGAAGTGGGCGTTGATGATGTCACCCCGAGCAACGGCGCTCGTGCAACGGGAGAGTTGCGATCTGGCGAAAGACATTCGATGTTACTTTTCTAAGCACGTTTCGAATGCAACATATTGCGAGTTAAACGTTGGGTACTCGGGCTCCTGGCTCGCGATAATTTATAAACGCATTTCCCTTTGCGAGCACGGTTTACTTTTAGGCCCAATTTACCACGAGGGGCGAGACGGGATAACGAACCACATTTCAACAATTACTCGAGGGTAGGACCCCGTTATGGGAATTTAAAGCGCCGCCCTTCCGCGTGTATTATCGAAGCAAAGCCACCTGCTGTTTCGCCGATGAGTTCTTAAAATTGCGCGGGACGTTTTGTTGGGGGACGTTAACGCGCTATCGATGTTATCGACTACGTGCAGGGGGGCATGAGTTAAGGTGGTTGCGAAGTGTGCTCTTCGCAAGTCACGAAAAAAGTAACAAGGCAGCCCCCCCCCCCAGCCCCACACTTTGAAGGAATTAAAACAGGGGCCGTGGAAAGATCGATTTGGCCAGGGCTGCTGTGCCCCCCCCACCACCCCACCAGGCAAGCAAAGCATCCTCTCTCTTAGTGCACGTTGAGAAAATGTCCTCGGACAGTCGTTGAAGTTCTCGCCGGTGCCATTTTGAAACCCGGGCGACGATTTGAGCTGCGTGCGGTGCGTTCAGCCGATGTGAAAATTTGTTCGCAAACAAAATAAAACCCGTGGGTCTCCTGCACGCCATCGAACGCTCGGATATGCTCATGGTAAGTGTGTGTGTGTGGTATTTTTTGGTGAGAAAACATTGCAACGCCATAAGAAACCGGGAGATTAAAACAGCAGCAGCTGAACAAAACATTACATTATTATACAACACCCACGTAACAAGTCACCTGACACCCATCTCAACTTGGATCAACTCCTCCACGTGAATTTCTATCTCTCTCTTCTTTTCACGCAAATTTCCATCCAAAATGTAATTTTTTTTTATCCTTTCAGCGAGCAGAAGCGTCGAGACGGTCCCCGCTCCTGCCAATCTACACTTCAAAAAATATCATTAAACTCTTGCCATCTACGAAACCTGATGAGTTATATTGCTCCATGATGGGATTTTTATATATATTTTTAAATTATTTTGAGTCGGGGGAGGTGGAGGTCGGTACAAAAATCCTGTACAATTTTCTTTTTACTAGTTTGCATAAAAAAGTAAAAAAAAAATTCTGAAAACAAAAGAGCTATATACTGTTATTAGTCAGCTGACAAAAATATATCAACAGCTGCACATTCACCTAAGTTTTATTTTAGCCACACAATAATGCGCACGCACACACATTTCCAGAAACAACTGACTTTGGAGCAACAGAGGCCATGGAGTGCGCCAAAATAATTTTTTTTAACCGAGGGCACGCTCCCTCCCTTGCGCGCTCACAAAGACAGCAGCGGGCGGTGCAGGTTTCAGCCCAAAACAGTTTTGTATTCCTCGACAACAACAAAAATAACGATTGAACCCACCCCCCAGACCCCTTGGCAAAGAAAACTGCGAACTGACTTGCGAAATTCCTTCATTGCTTACGTTTCCCCGTGGTTAGGCCATCCTAAAGGTGTCTTCATGTCGTTTTCTTTTGAGGGCAGTCCAGCTTCCGAGCATGTTTCTCCTACCTCGACAAGGTTTTTTTTCTGCGTTTGGAAGCTTCTGCGCTTTAAACGAAGGACGGAGTAAGGTGTAGGGGGGGGGGGGGAGCAACAACAAAAGAGAAACCTCTCAGCCATCTTAAAAACATGGCCCTCTCACATCGAACGCGAGCCCTTCTCTTTGATTTGGGTTGCTCCGCCGCTCCCGCAAAGCCCCACTCCTCTCCCTTTGCGTCTCCCTCTTCCACACGATTCCATCCATCCGCGGTGCAATTTTCCAGGCAAACTCAAAAGCCAAACGCGGATTTCTCACCGTCTCAAGCATCGTCGTTCATAATTGGTCTCAAGCTCCCTAGTAGAATTCTCGGACACCCACCCACCCACCCCTCCCTCCCCCCACCCCACCACCAAAAGTTGGGTCGTAATCTTGGAAATATTTTTCTGTCCAAGCAACCTTTTTTTAGCTTGCAAAGTTTCACTGTAATAGTGTTGTAAACGGCTTCACCGGGAGGGGAAAAAAAAAAAGTAATTCTTGCACGCAGTCGTTAATTTATTTGTAGTCCGTCTGAGGCTGCCCAACGCTCCCGCTGAGGCCAGGCCCTCCCCACTGGCTCAACAATCGAGCGCGGCGCCCAGCATTGCGTGAGTTCCTTTGTATTTTTAAAACTGCCTTCACAGCCAATGCCCAACATTCAGCTTCGGCGTGTGTCGTAGTTTTGCATGATTAAAGTGCCTCCGTTATTATTATTATTAATATTCAACTGTCTCATTTTTGCTTTGCCTTGGTGGTGGCGGTTTGCGGCGGTTTGTGGCGGCCCCGTCAACATCCTTGAATGTTTTGTTTTGTATTCGCAGACAGCGTCGTCCGTAGCCAACCCCCCCTCCCCCACGCCCTCACACCTTCCCCGCACACACGCGTCCGCCGTTCAGCACGACGACTGCGGCAGGTGCCGGTCCCTCTCTACGCCTTCGTCGTCGGCGCCGCAGAAAACCAGCGGACGCTCCTCCCGAGCGTCGCCGGGCGACGACGCCGAGGGCCCCCCGCCACTCCCGCCGGCGGCGGCGGAGGCCCGGCCGGGGTCGCCCCTCGGCGGCTCGGCCTGCGCCGGCCTGCACCTGTCGGGCAGCGGCCCGCCGCCGCCGCCGTTGTTGTCGCGCGCAAACTCGCGCACCGAGTGGAAGGAGACCGCCGGCGTGAGCGGCACGCTCTCGGGGTCGCCGTCCGAGCACGGCCACTCGTCGGGCTCCGCGATCGGGCCGCAGCCCACGCGATTCTCGTCGCTGTAGTAGAAGGAGAGGTCGTGGAAGGAGGGGCAGAGGTCGTCCTTCATCGAGCCGATGATCTCCAGGAAGGTGGGACGCATGCGCGGGTTGTACTGCCAGCACAGGCGCATCAGCTCGTACCTGCGGTCGGTGCGAAAGGAGACGGGGAGGGGGGGGCACGGACGGCGGTCGAATGTGTTTCGGCATATACTGTCGAGACAAAGGTCCCCCCCCCCCCGCCGTGTAGCCTCAACAAACGTTTGGGGCAAGTGCTGTTAGCGAGCACCGATGAAAGTCGTCACGGCACACTAAGGGGGTTTACGGGCCAGAACTACGCCTAGCCGCCTTTGTCTCCCTAGTGGTGATTTTAAACACCGCACCAGGTACTCATTTGAGGCTGTGTTGGACCTTGGGGAGGCCCGGGACCGGTTCAGACAATCGCCACAGGGTGTTCGGGATTTGAACTCTGGTCGCCGGGTTCGTAGCACAGCGCGCTAACCACTACACTGCTCGCTCCCCACCTACAACAATAATGCACACGCGCACACACAATGGTTCACGACCATTTGCCTTCTTCCATATTTAATAATCGCGTGTGATCAATGGCCGCCAGTGCTTGTTTAGACACACGCACAACTATAATGATCCCCTGCAGAGCCGCGTCGAGTGTCGGGGCGAACGCTGCAACGAAGCGCCTATTACGAGCACGGGCCTACAGGCCAGCAACGCGCGCTGACGCGCTGCCCCCCGCTGCTCACGGCGTGCAACAACTCCGCGCGGAGAGCGAAAGGGCGCAAAAGACTCACAGCTTGTCGGGACAATTGTCGGGCCTCTCCAGCAGGCCGCCGTCCATCACGAACTTGAGCACCTGCTCGTTGGACATGCCCTGGTAGGGCTGCTCGGCCAGCGTGGCGATCTCCCAGAGCACGACCCCGAACGACCTGCAAGGCACCGACGCGCACACGCACGCGTACACACACACGCACGCGTACACACACACGCACGCGTACACACACACGCACGCGCACACACGCACGCGTACACACGCACGCACGCACGAGTACAATAAGCGCAATTCGCCACCGAGTGGCAGCTCCGTGACCGCGGCGCCCGTGCCAGGCTAGGTGCGTTGAGGCCGCGCGCAAGTGCAGAAGGACTCACTGGCATGAAGTCAAGATACACGCAAGAGACGCGAGCGCACACGTGACGCGCACGCGCGCAACACGCAAGTTCACGCGTGCATGTGCAAACGTCTGCATCCGCAGACAATTTCACAATCGCACGTGAATGCAGGCGCTAACAAAAAGGATACAAATGCAAAGATTGTTGGGGCAAGTGCTCTTAGCGAGCACCTATGAAGGCCGGCACGGCAGCAGCACGCACGGCCGCCTTTGTCTCCCTGGTAACGATGTTTACGCACTGCACCAGGTAGTGCAGCGCGCTAACCACTATACTCGCCGCTCCCCACCAACACCCGCACATATGTGTACACACATGAACACATAAACGACACGCACGTGCAGACGCAACACATATACGAAAGTAAATTATTTCTTAGCAGGTGAGGCTCACTGAGCTATATAGGAGCTCTTTTTCAGAAGCGACCCGGCCACAAATGATAGCTCAACAAAGTGGCTTATCACGTGGAAATGTATAGCAGTCAAACACTCTGAACGCACATCGATTCTAAATGTGGAAGGCAAAACCGAAGGACCCACTGAAAAAATCCACAGGACCACAGGAAGAGAGACATGCAAAATCCAAATATACAGCAGCAGGCGTCAGGGTCGGGATCGAACCCACGACCTCCTGTATACCAGGCGAGGTAGTTAACATCTACTAGCCACCGTGATGATGATGATGAGATAGAGACACGAAAACTCCAAATATACGGCAGGCGTCATGGTCGGAATCGAACCCACGATCGCCTGTATGCCAGGTGAGGTAGTTAACATCTCGGCACACACGCATGCACGTACAGCATTGCCACACTGCACCGGTGCACCCGGAAGCAACAACACTCTAGCGACAGAACTGACGGAAATTCTCCTCTCCTTATTGCAAACGATGACCGTTGTTGTTATTGTTATTATTGTTGTTGTCTCACCAGACATCGGAGTACGTCGTGAACACGCCATCGCGCAGTGACTCGGGCGACATCCAGCGCACGGGCAGCAGACCCTTGCCACCCTTGCGATAGTAATCCGTCTCGTAGATGTCGCGCGTCATCCCAAAGTCTGGAACACAGGAGGGAAGTTATCCACCGTGTTCTCACACACACGCACGCAGTGGCACTCCCGCCCCGCCCCTCCACCCGCCGCATGCTAACCGTTGCGCGACCGCTCCCCGCATTCATGCACGCGCACACACACGCACGTAGCCGGGAGCGCGACCGAGCGTGCGCGTCTCATGTGGGGGCGAATGAAAAGGCTGAGTCGACCTAGGGGGGGCCCAGGCCCGGTTTAGATAATCGTCACTTGTGTTGGTGGCCATGAGAGGGAATCGAACTCGGGTCACCGGGTTGATAACGCATTGGTGTTAACCGCTGTCAAAAACAAAGATCCCCCGTATAGCCTGTAACAGACTGCTGGGACAAGTGCTGTTAGCGAGCACCTATGAGGAGGTGGGTGGCCAGCACCACGCTGGGTTCGTAGCGCGGCGGGACGCTATGTATGGGCACACGCACGTACACGTAGCCGGGCGCGCGGGTGAGCGTGCGTGCGTGCGCGTAATGCGCACGGGGAGGGGGACAGCAAGGAGGCCGAACCTCCGATCTTGACGGTGAAGTCGTAAGCCACCATGCAGTTGCGAGCTGCGAGGTCGCGGTGCACGAACTTCTTGGCGTTGAGGTAGGCCATGCCGTCGGCTATCTCTCCCGCCATCTGCACCATCTCCTTCAGCGTCGGCGCCGGGCGCTTTGGGTTATTCTGCGAAGGTACCAAGAGGCGGTTCGCCCCCACGCCAAGTAAGAAAAGCTGGCAGTCAACGTTGTGAAGCGAACGCTTTTCACGCGAGCGGGTTCAGCGTGGCGCCCTCCATGGGTGTTGTTTCGCGTTCGCGCCCTCCGCGTATTGGCACAATGTTTCGCGATGTCCGACGTTTTGAGATGTTCCACGTGCCGGGGAAGCCCCCACGTGCTAACTTTTGCTGCTTTGGCTTTCGTTTAATTTCGTTTCGACGAGACGGAAAGTTGCACGTAAAAAAACGAACAAAAGGACACCCAGTACTGACACACTGGAAACAAGTTAAAAGTACATCAATAAACCATCCAAAGGCACTTTTAAGACATATCGCGTGGACGTAAAAATGTAATTTTCGTCGGACACAACACTCATGATTATAAAAAAATCCATTATTACCCAAAATCTATTTAACGTAAACAAGACCAAACTCAGAACCGTGGCCAGCGTTGCTGACTCACACCCCCCATGCCCCCACACACCCCCCCCCCCCCCCCCGTGGCGTGGGATGGTGAAATTGAGTAATGACATTCAGGTTGAAAAGTTATGTTCTTATTTGACGAATCTTATGACAAAAAAGGATGATGATGATGATGATGCAGGCGTTGTGGTAGTGGACAGATGTGAAATGCTTCATTGCCAAAAAGCCTTACCACCTTTCAAGAAATGTATTCGTGTAATCCAACATTGATCATCCCATTTATTACCTGGATTTTTAAAAGTTTAATTTAACTTGTTTATTTTCGCATCTTTATTTCTTTTTTTCAGACGAGCCAATAATGGGGCATCGACGGGCTGTGAGGCACACGGCAACCTACACTTCGTAGCTAAAATATAACGATATCAAACCAAAAATTGCCTCGCGAAATCCAATAACAGAAATGAAACGCAAACGGCGAGACGTTTTTGACAGATCATCGCTCTTGATCCACACCACGCTGCCAGGAAAGGGGGGGTACACGGCCACGCCAAATTATATTTTGGTGATAAAATGGGCCAAAGCACCGCCGTGGAGGAGACGTGACAAATGCGCCTGCTTAAATGTGACAAGCTTTGGACGGCAATGGAAGCAGCAACGAAACTGACGAGGTACGATGCCGCCCTCTGCTGTCCTGCTCGCAAAAACGCAACACGCTTTGGTCGAGAACCCGCTGCCTTGCCCTGGAGCAGAGGTCGCAAACGGGTTTTGATTCCTTACCCGTACCCGGCCGCACCAGGGTCGCAAACGGGTACCCGTACCCGGCCGTACCTGTACCCTACCCGTACCCGGCCGGGTACGGGTACCTACCCGTACCCGGCCGGGTACGGGTAGGTACGCTCGTAAGTAAAGCAAAAAAAAGCAAGCCCTTCATCGACGAACATTTTCACGGCCGATTTCGCGACCGGAATCAATTCTACGGCAACCCCTGCCGGCACTGACCTCGGTGTCCGGTCGCAGCGAGCGGAGGTAGCTCTTGAGGTCACCGTTGGTCATGAGCTCCATGACAACGAGAGTGGGCTGCGCCAACGACACCACGCCGAGCAACCGCACCTGCGGAGCGACGGGAGAGAGGCGGTGACGTCACCCGCCTGCGGTCCGTCGTTGATCGCCGTTCGATTCGCCGTCACCGCGCGCGGTTTTCCCCGGAGCCAGGCGCCGAGCGAAAGCACGAGGGCACCCACCACGCGCGAGGCCGTCGCGCTCGAAGTGTACGGCGGTAAAAAATAAACACCGTCGTTTGCCTCCACGCACGACACTGGGTCGATCCGGCACATGAAAATAATGATCAGTTATCTCATTTAGCACCGATACTAAGCAGGCACAAGGTAAGGGCACTCAGCTATACAGTAAAACCTTGGATTGCGAGCATAATTCGTTCCGGAAATGTGTTTGTAATCCAAAGCACTCGTATATCAGTTGTGATCACGTGACGCTCGGCAGACAAAGCGTATACACGTGCTACTCGTATTGCAAGACCTCGCTCGTTTATCAAATTAATATTAATTTAAAAAATGTGCTCGTTTTGCAAAAACACTCGCAGACCAAGTTACTCGCAAACCAAGGTTTTACTGTATATATCTTTTTCAGAAGGGACCTGGTGACAAATGAAAGCTCAACGACATGGCTTCTGTGGACATTTATAGCAGCCAAATACTAAAAACGCATGATTCTAAATGTGGAGGGAAAAACCAGAGCACCCGGAGAAAAATGTACGTGACCACAGGGAGATAGAACATGCAAACTCCAACCATACAGCAGGCGTCATAGTCGGGATCAAACCCACAACCGCCTGGATACCAAGCGAGGTAGTTAACATCTCACCACCGTGGCACCCGAACATGGGACGTTGAGGAACCATTCGCTGGGGGCCATCAACGGCTCGATCCACGTGCCAATGTTGACCCCATCGTTGCCTGTTAACTGGGTTCTCATTCACTTGCTCGCTCTCTCGCTAACTCTCTCTCTCACTCTCTCACTCGATCTCTCTCGCTCTCTCACTCACTCTCCTCTCGCACTCTCTCACTCTCTCTCTCTCGCTCTCTCTCGCTCGATCTCCCTCGCTCTCTCTCGCTCCCTCACTCTGTCTCGCACTCTCTCACTCTCTCTCTCTCGCACTCTCTCACTCGATCTCTCTAGCTCTCTCATTCACTCTCTACTCGCTCTCTCACTCACTCTCCTCTCGCTCTCTCTCGCTCGATCTCCCTCGCTCTCTCTCGCTCTCTTGCTCTCTCACTCTCTCCCGCACTCTCTCACTCGATCTCTCTCGCACTCTCTCACTCGATCTCTCTCGCTCTCTCACTCACTCTCTCACTCACTCTCTCTCGCACTCTCTCACACGATCTCTCTCGCTCTCTCACTCAATCTCTCGCACTCTCTCACTCTCTCTCACACTCTCTCTCGCACTCTCTCACACTCGATCTCTCTCGCTCTCTCGCACTCTCTCACTCTCTCTCTCTCGCTCTCTCACACTCACTCTCTCTCGCTCTCTCACACTCACTCTCTCTCGCACTCTCTCACACGATCTCTCTCACTCAATCTCTCGCTCTCTCTCGCTCTCTCACTCACTCTCCTCTCGCTCTCTCACTTGCTCTCTCTCGCACTCTCTCGCACTCTCTCACTCGATCTCTCTCGCTCTCTTGCTCTCTCACTCACTCTCTCTCTCACTCTCTCTCGCCTCTCTCTCACCACGTGGTGGCAGCTGAAGGACTTCATGACGGACGCCTCGTTGAGGAACTCGATGCACTCCCGCATGGAGGCACCGTCGTTGACGGTCTTGACGGCGACGCGAGTCTCCACCTCGTCGGGCACGATGCCGCGCGCCAGCCCCTCGTAGACCATCCCAAAAGAGCCCTGGCCCAGCTCCCGCAGCAGCACGATCTTGTCCCGTAGGACCTCCCACTCGTCCGGAACGTACACTGGGAAAAGAGAGAAGGGGTAACGGGGGGTAGGTGGGGGTTAACACTCCAGAGCACGTCAACTCGCGCGGGACCCGGCGATCCGTTTGAGCTAATGGCATAACCATATCGCATTGATGTCATACCTGGTGTGCAGCGCACAGCCTCCTCCTTCTCTGAACTTGAGACAGAATTCAACGTAAAGCATTCGGGTCGATGAATGATCCAGCACTGAGCCATTCATTCAAGCGGCGGTCAACACTTATCACTGTTCCATCGCCACTACCGTGGCTACCGTTCCCATCGTCAACCGATTCCTCCACTCGAGTTGGGGACTGGGTCGAGGAGACCGGTCGTTTCGTCTCGTCCACCACGCTGCGTTCAACCGCTGACACTCCCCGCAGGTCACACAACTCAACTCGCTCTCCGCTAATTCCCCGTCGGATCGCTCGACTCCAAACCTTACTCCCCTCGCCACCACCACCACCACCAGCACCACCACCACTGTCTCCTCTCTCAAGGTCTAGCAGCCTCGCTCGATTCACCAAAAGCGTATTCTTGTCGGCGAGTAACGTGAAGAAGCACTGGCGGTTCGCGTGAAGAGGGCGCTGCTGTGGCGAGACGTTAACTGGCTCGCATGGTGTACAGTTGTGGGTTCAATCCCAACCCTGAAGTCTGCTGTACATTTGGAGTTTGCATGGTCTCCCCGACATCGGTTTTGTTTTGCTCGGCGACGCTCACAGCACCGCGAGACTCGGCTCCACTTCATCCCGAGGTGCTTGGGAGGTATCTTCTTGGTTCTTTCGGTAAAGTCACGTAGAAGTAGAAGGGAAGTAATAAAATAATAAAAATAAAACATAATAAAATAATTCTCATGACGTTTCGGCCACAATGCAAGCAGCCGTCCTCAGGTGAAGAACATGTCTTTTTTTTTTTAGACTCTGTCTTATCGACAGACATGTTCTTCACCTGAGGACGGCTGCTTGCATTGTTGCCAAAACGTCGTGAGAATTATTTTATTATGTTTTATTTTTATTATTTTATTACTTCCCTTCTACGTGACTTTACCGAAAGAACCAAGAAGATGAATCCCTGCAGTCACGAAAGCTTTAAATCGTGCTTGGGAGGGTCAAGGAGAGCAAAATGCAGGACTTGATGCGGACAGAGCGTCCCACAATGACTCATCTGGAGAGACGCGAGAACAAATGGCCCTTCCAGATCGGGGGGAATAAAGGGGACATATTTGATGAAGCCCACGCAGCTGCCACTAACTGGCATTAATAAGACAAATTCATTGATTTTTGTAATTTACCATTCTCATGAATGAACTAAGAGAAGATGGCGTGTAATTACATCCAGCTGAGAGTCCTCTCAGATCAAAAGTTTGTTTTCCGAGTGACTTCAGATAGAATGGCTGAGATAACTATTTGTAAAAATTCTCAAGTACAGCATTAAATTTCGGAGGAAAATAACCGTCACTTTGAATTCCCGAGCAATCAAAGTGAAACAAAATAAGTTGCAATTAAGTTGAGCAACACCAGTTCACTTTTTTTTCCCAAAATGGCTCTTAAATATCAAATCAAAACGTTCGGCTAAAAACCAGGCAACTTAAAATATATTCTTGGTTCTTTCGGTAAAGTCACGTAGAAGGGAAATAATAAAATAAAATAAATATAAAACAATAAATATTTATATTATTTTATTATAGAAGGGAAATAATAAAATAATATTAATATAAAACAATAAATATAAAACAATAAATATTTTCATTATTTTATTACTTCCCTTCTACGTGACTTTACCGAAAGAACCAAGAATATGAATCCCTGCAGTCACGAAAGCTTTAAATCAAAACTTAAAATATAATTTGTGAAAAAGCCTTGGGGGAGCACGCACAGCCACGGGCTGCGCAGCAAAAAATCGCAATCGATTTCAGTGCTCAGGCCACGTAACGAGCAGGAAAATCAATAGCGGATCATAACACCGGCTGCGAAAAGCTCCACGCGTTGACGACACCCGATTGGCTCACAAGTGACGGCATCGCATTTATGCCCCCGGCGCTATTTAAGACCGGAACAAGAGGAGGATTTCTCCCCAACTCTGGCCGTCGCCTGATGAGGCTGGTTGCAATTACCGCCGCTATGTGACGGTACTCGAATGGTAAATGTTGTTGTGGGTTTAATCTCCCAACACACCGGTGTGCTGAACTGGCAACGAATTGGCTTCATTTGGTTTACGTGACAAACCTTGCTCACTGGCCGTGTTGGGTGGCCGCGGGTTTAACGACGCGTTTATATTTACGTGATCTAACCCCCCCCAAAAAAAACTCTATTATAATATTGGTCACGAAAGCCGACCACGTGTTAAACTCATCTTCGTTCTTTAAGCCGACAACAAAGCGACGAGCGGCTGTAAGCCGTCTTCGTTCTATCGCGCGACTCCGCCGTAGCTTGCCCGTTCTACCGCGTGCGTATCAACAGGCGTTTACTCCGCGGCGATTTCGTTTCCAAAGTTCCGAGAGGCAAACATCGGCCGCGGCGTTTGTATGGAACAAGCGCGTGATCCGACGACGCAGCACTCGCGTGTATTCGGTTAATCTTTGGTCGAGGGCAAAGAGGGGCCCCCGTTCGTGCCGTCACCGTGTCGCAACCCCTAATACGAGGACAGCACAGGTGGCTTTAGGCCGCTAAATTATTTCATGAGCCACGCGCGCACACACACACGCACGCACGTGCTGTGCGACTGGAGTTGCCATTTTGACCCAAGTTGCTCTCTCAGGCAAAGAACATTTAAGCACTTGGTTAATTCCATTCAGGTTGTACGTATGTATGTAAACCTTATTTTTCGTACCGTATGTAAGCAACCCTGCTGAACGGAGGTGCACATTACCTCATAAGCCAATTTGGAATTATCGTTCACAAATGCAACAACATGTTAATTCATCTTAATACCTCATTGTTATTTTAACTTGACACCAAGCCGTAAAGAAATTACACCAAAAAGCAACTGTTGCCAGAGGTCGCAAACGGGTTTTCATTCCTTACCCGTACCGTACCCGGCCGCACCAGGGTCGCAAACGGGTACCCGTACCCGATACCCGGCCGGGTACGGGTAGCCGGTTATCGGGTAGGGTACGGGTATCGGGTACCCGATTGCGACCTCTGGCTGTTGCGCAATTGGTATTGCACTGGACTTGGAACAAGGAGGCAAGTATCTTTACATTCCCCCGCCGGGTAAATGTGTGCCGAGCAAAGGCAGTCGGTCAATCGGAGGCAGTTGCAGGCATCGCCAGATTGCCAGCGCTTCGCGGTTGACTCAGACCATCATCCATTCCGGTGCTATAAAACGAATACCACTTTGTGGGGTGGGGGGGGGGTCCAAACAGCAGTTCTCCGAGAGACTTTTAGCCCTCTATGCTCATTTGCGAAAGAAAAATCACCGGACTTCCTTGACTTAATTATCGACTGCGCCTTCAAAAAATTCGAAAGAAAAAAACGTGTTCCAGACCTTTTAAAGATGACTTACTTTCGTTGGCGCTGACGTACTCCGGATTGTCGGACGTGTAGAGTCTGCCAAGGGGAACATCGACATTGTTCCTGCGAAAGAGTGAGACGCCAGAGAACAATTCAGTGACAAATGGCAAGTCGCAAGAAGTACTCCACAGACAATGTGCAATATTGAAAGCCCCACTCAAGTTAAGAACTAAACCTGACGTGACACTCTCTCCTCACGCACTTTCGGGTTGTACCGCGTGTTTGTTCGGCACGTTGCCCGACGTTTCGCTCCACGGGCTTGCGAGCTTCCTCAGGAGCAGTTACAGCTACATGTTCTCACTCAATTACAGCGCGAAATCAGTGGCTCCAATCAAATCTGAGAGCTACACAAGCGCTACAACCGTACAAACCCAGGTGGTCGTGTACACGTTTCGCTCGCTTTACCCAGGTTCGGTCTGCGCGTGTGATTTCACGCTGTGTATGCGGCAGTACTAGATCTACCCAAAATATGCGAGATTACGTGGTTTTAATTCCCTCCGATGCGGCGACGTGGTCAGACGTGTTCTGTTGCGGTTGCACCCGAGTCAAGAGCCGCATGGCTCACAGGGTTATACCTAATAAATGAAAAAATGAAAAAACAGTGTGCGTGCACTGTGTGCGCTACTTGGTTGGCAGCTGTCTCGTGCACCATTTGTTTGGAAAGCATCTACTACCGCGTAAAGCGAGGGAAACCTGTACAACAGTTCCATTGCAATTCTGTGCACCTACCAAGATGGTGCCGTTTTCATTAAGGCACACAGCAATAAGGCTGTTTATGTCATAGAAACAGATAAGAACATTTGAGTACAATAAACGTACATTTGATTGCGTAAACGCAGAGGCCATGTTCGTGCGTTATTTATATATATATTTTACCAGGTAAGGTCCTCTTAGATGTGTAGCTATTTTTCAGAAGTGACCTGGCCACAAATGATAGCCCAACGAAATGGCTCATCATGTGGACATTAATAGTGGCAGCCAAATAATCTAAAACGTCAATTCTAAATGTCAATTCTAAATGTGGAGGAGAAAAATCCAAACAACCATGGAGAGAGAGAGAGAACACGCAAACACCGGCAGGGCCGGGATCAAACCCACGACCTCCTGTATACCAGGTGAGGTAGTTAACATCTCACCACCTGGTTTTCCCAGGTGGCGGCCCGCACTCGCTCTCTCTCCACAGTCAGCCACGCGTAGGCCTTTGGTGCGGCAGTCGAAGGCCACCGTCACATGCTCGACGACACTCACAGGGCTCGTAAGAAACAACAGGACGGCCGTTTTCGCTCACCTCTTTCGAAACACAAACACCAGGGCGAAGAGGACGATGCCTGCGATCACCACAATCGTCAGCGTCACCACCACCGGCACCACCACGTCGTTGCTGTTGTAACCTGGCGCAACGAACGAACAAACGCGTTTCGCCCGCGACATCGAAATGCCGTCACGGAAATCGTGAAGACCGTGTTACTCCTGGGCAGATTGGTCTCCGCCGCAGGAATGTGGAATGTCCACCCACTCGCTCAGGATGCCGATGGGTGCCACCCATTTGAGTCCTTTAGGGTTCGCAGCCACTTTTGACGCTACGTGAATGTCAGTAAGTTTACACGTTTGGTACAAAGAATATAATAATAATACCTGCTAAAAAAAATTTTTTTAGTTTTTGTTTAGTGGCGAGTGAAATACGAATTGTGCCCTGGGTCTCCCCACTTCATCAACCAGCAGTGACCAGCATCGTGCAGTATGGTCAAACAACACCATTGACCAACACTGGGAGGGGAGGCCGTCATCCAACAGTGGACTGACAAACAGCGGTCTAAAATGGGCACTTCAGGCATGCCGGCATAAAAAATGAGCAACGGGAACTTGCCCAAAGAGGGTGAGAGTGTGCATTTCACCGATCCAGATGTTAACAGCATTGTCTTAAGTGATCAGACAAACGCCGCAGCCTGCGATGTACAGAGCATCGACGATGGTTGTTATGAGGAGTGCTTGGAACGGAGATAATTCAATTAGGCGCACTGACCAAAACTCCTGTGGCCGGGGTCACTATCCGGCAAAGCCGGGAAAATCCCCGGTCATAGTGTGGGAATTTACCGAACAAAGCCATAAACCTAGAAGACTATTTCCATATTTATCAGAGAATCTCTCGGACCTCCGATTAGCACGGTTGGCTGCTTACAGTGTGAAACAAGTTCAACATCTATGGGACCTTTTGCCAGTATCAACTGCCCAACCCGAGCGATAAATCCTCTGGTACGTGCATTGTCTGACACTGGTGAGACAAGGCCATAAAAATAAGGCTGACTCTGGTGGGGGCCAATCAGTTTCAAAGACAATACAGAAATTATCAGAGCGTGTTTGTTTTCCTGATCACCACAAGTACGTGTTGTTAACGCAGACTTGATACCTTGCAAAAGGTTTATCTCTTTGGTGTCTGAACATCTAACACCTGCTGTTCTATTGCTAAAAAGGGTAAAAACCTATCCTTGTTTTTCATACATACACCCATCTCTGAATAGGATTGGCACTCACAGCAACGTTGACGGATTGCAACCAAGAGCAAAACGCGTGCCCTCAAAGCTAACCCGTTGCCACCTTTGGTGTTATACGGTCCGTGAACCCCAAGCCGAGCGCTAATTCCCGAAAAACCCACCGATGTGTCCCTCAGCGGCTTCAACGCACACGCAGGCGCCCTGAGTTTACACCAGGTGACCCCGGGGGGGAGGAGGGAGGAGGTACAGGTGACCGCACGTATGCAGGACATCTCGTCCTGATGACAGTGTGACTGCAGTCAACCTCTGCTCAGCGGGAGGTAGATCATTCTCCTCTGCTGTCCCCGTTACCTTAATCTGCTTTGTCCCAGCCCACCGTGCCACTGACACCCCCCCCCTGCCCTCCACCACTACCCCACGTGTCCACTGTTCCAAGCCCAGGGCTCAACAAAACTTCCTCTCTCTCCTCTGCTTACGAATGACTCTCTCGTTTTGTTTCGGGAAATAAAGACCAACAACCAAATGGTCATGCGCGCGCCCCAGTTTTTTGCTGGTACAACGGCTGGAGAATGCACTATGAGCTGAAAATCGTGTTGTTGCACCAAAGTTGTGCGCTGCGATGACCCCACCACTCACTGTGGTCGGAGATGGTGAAGGTGATGGGCTCGGTCCACGAGCCGTTGCCGGCCAGCGACGTCGCACGGACTTTGGCCGTGTACTTCCCGGGGATGGGCAGGAACATCTTGCAGCCGCCCACCTTTTGGTACTGGGACCGGGAGACGCACTTGGGGTTTTCCGGCTGCGGGGATAAAAAAAATTCTAATAAAAAATGTGTTGGCTGCCACTGGGATTGCAGACTTGCATCCTTGAAATGCGGTGAATCATCTCAAAGCATCAAGTGCTAATTCTAGATTTGAAGCTTTCGTAACTGCAAGGATTCATACTCTTTTAACCTACGTGACGTTACCAAAAAAACCAAAAGACGGTCAGCGCACTGGTTCGATTCCACCTCCCCTGCACTGGAGTTGAAACTAATTATCCGAAACTTCACCACGCCAGTCCACCGATGCCACAGTTCGTCGATCGGCAGACCCCGTGTGGTCGGGTGAAGTGTGTCTTCCTCCCACATCATCAAAAGGTGTGTATGGCCGGCATGGAAGATTCCGCCAAAATTCTCTCTTAGAGGGGCTCGCGAGAGCTGCCCCTTCCACAGGCAGTGGCACGCAAATAACTCGAGGGCTGAATCTCCGCCCTTACACACGTCCCTCTGTAGTTCACGACACCAAGTTGACACGGCGAAAGCGTCGTCAGCTTTAGCGCCCCTTAACCGTTGGGCCGCACCCGGCCCACGAGTTGGGCAGCTTCGCCGGACGTGTTTTGTTTTATTGCAACTCAACGCCGGCTCGGTACAATACGCCAATCGCAAAATGGGGGCGGTGGGGGGAGGAACAGAAAGTCCGCGAACAGCAAACCCAATTTCGGCGCATCAGGGCTGAGAGAAGGTAACTACCTCGCCTGGTATGCAGGAGGTCGTGGGTTCGATCACGACCCCGACGCCTGCAGTGTATTCTTTTGGCCTTTCGGTAAAGTCACGTAGATAGTTTCAAAGAAAATAACAAAAAACTACGACGTTTCGATCGCAACACAATCGGTCGTCATCAGGAAAAGGAGGTTTCTGACGGAGAGAGACGGCGTCGTTGAGTCGCGACTCGCCTCCTGGTCGCGGCGGTAGAGAACTTCGTAGAGCAGTATGAGCCCGTTGGGTCTCTGGGGCTCGGCCCACATCAGCTGCACGCCGCCGTCCTCGGCGATCTTGTACGTGACGGGACCCACGATGTCGTCCGCGCCGGCTGTAACGCGAAGACGAAACGGTCACCGGACAGCCACGGCATTTTCACGTCATGAGTGACGGCGGCAACTCTGGTGGCGTGGGATCGGCCATCGCGAAACCGAAGTTCCGTTGCTACCGACAAACCCACAACTCGGTACAATCCCATCGAGCGATGGAGTCCTCTGGTCTAACCAGTGTGAGAGTGTGTTCAAAGGTGCGTTTCATAAACAACGACTGGTCTTACAGAGAGAGCAACGACCGGTAGTCACACGGAGGCTTGTCTTGGAGATCTGATTGGAAGTTGCAATAACAGCGATGGCACCAGGCAGGGCAGCAATCGGGTTTGTCCAGATTTGGGCAACTTATTGTTTTTTTTTTAAACAAGAGAAAAGGGAGCAGAAACAAGTAAACCCGTAAAAACTAAGTTTTTCACTCTAAATCCTTTATATGCGTGGCGGCTAGAGTCATCTCGTCCTCTGGCTTGAGATGGCTGCCACCTATGGGTCAGATGATTGCATGGCAGCATTAAGCAATTGGTAATTAAATATAATATTTTTGTCCTAAAAAGTGTAAAATTTTGGAAAAAAATTTTCACTAACATTAATTGTCACGCACAACGAGTCTGTGTACAAATGTCAGCTCGATTGGATCACGGGAAGTGGGTTAAAAAACGACCGAAAGATTTGCACGGTCCTAAGCAAGCAAGCAAGTGAACTTAATATAAAGGATTTAAAAATAGTGACGACCGCTATAAATCTGCTCTCTAGTTATGTTACGCAAGTGACAACTGCCCATCTGAAGCATGTAAGTCGGGTTTCACAGTTAACGGCAAAAGTGGGATTCCTGAAATTCATAGGATTCCCGAAGAAATGGCTTCAGGGCTGTCTGCAAGCATTTCCGATCCTCCTAAAATCTTAGGTATGTCACGTGAGACAAAACACTGAGAGCCGTTTACTGCTCATTCCCCCCGTGTCGTCTTTCAACTGTTTAATGCCGCCTTTCTGGCTTTGGCGTCAAATCGGAGAGTTCCAAGGCTGCTACTGAACACGCTTTTCGGTCGGCGGTCATAGTCATCGTTGGGTGGAATTAAATCAAAACAAGCCGCTGCGGTCGAGAGCAACTTCCTCCCTGCGGATAGTGACACGGAAAGAAAAATTTAGATTTTTTTTTTTTATTGGCAACAAAATAATTTCGGTCAACAATTTCGTTCCAGGGCACAACCGCTGGCGAGGGGGGGGGGGAGGGGCGGCACCCACCTTCGGGCATAGTCCTGGCGAAGACGTAGCTTGGCGTGCTGCAGCCGACGCGCTCCGCCTCGTGGTTGCAGGCCTGCACGTTGACGAGGTACAGCGTGAAGTGCTGCAGGCCCGAGATGACGGTGCGGTCGTGCATGTGCGCGCTCTTCTGCCCGACGGGGAAATTCTTCGGCTCGTGGCTCTCGGTGGGGGTCAGCGGCGGGCGGACCGTGCCCGCCGTGCTGTTGGACGGGGCGATCGTGGCTTTGATGTCGCCGACGACCGTGCCCTCGCCGCCGCTGGACACATCCCTGCGGCGCCGCGACGGCCTGGGAGCGGCGGGGACAGAAGGTTTGTAACGGACACCGTTAACTTTATGTCCTCATCATGATCACGCGGTCGATTAGCACCCACACCTCCAATTAGCACCAGCACCTCCTACATACGGTGCGGAAGAAGTTCCACATACGTACATACAACTTCACCTGGCTCTGACGATGACCTCTGTATGGCTTACACCCCGATGTAGGCTCACAAGGTAAGTTAGGTGATCTAACCAAAAAACCTCTATTATGGATATTGGTAGCGAAAGCCTATGTGTTAAACTCACCAGGTAGGTTTTTGGAACAATATTATGATTTATAAGTGATTTGTGGGTTAGGCCACTTCATGAGCTGAGCAGGTTCGTGTTCTTAGAACTCTCTACCACCCAACGCAGCCGAACAAATTGAATGTCGCGTGAAAAAGGTTTTGTATGATGCGCCAATTATTATTGTTCAGCTCACCAGGAAGTTGAAGAACAATTCTCACAAACTAATCAGATCTTCATTCTGACTTCCAGGACCCAGTCCTGACAATGCGTTTTAATAACCCCACTCCCTATTTCAAACACTATCATCTCATGTACAATAAAAAAATTGCTGTCATTTTCCTTGGAATAAGGAGCCATGTAAATCTATATAAGATAAGATGAGACATTCGTGAGAGAATGTAGGGTCTTGCAGCTCACTCCGAGATGCTGAGAAACCAGTGAGGCTCATGGGTAGTGGATGGGGAAGTCAAGAGGGGGAGATGTTAACTACCTCACCTGGTATGCAGGGGGTCGTGGGTTCGATCCCGACCCTGACGCCTGCTGTATATTTGGAGTTTGCATTGTCTCTCTCCCCGTGGTCACGTGGATTTTTCTCCAGGTCCTCCTGGTTTTACCCTGCCACTATAAAAACATTTTTACCCTGCCACTATAAATTTCCACATGACGTCGAGCTATCATTTGTGGCCAGGTCGCTTCTGGAAACGAGCTACATAGCTCAGTGCACCTTACAGGGTGAAATAAAACAAAGTTTAGTTGCATAAATAGTTTATAGTTTAGGTAGTAGTGGCAGACACACAGGGCAAACAGTGCCCGCCCCAAGAACTCTTCTCTGCATCACGTTCCGTGACCCGAACGGGAACTGCTAATTGTTGACATTCACTAAGTGACCAGTGGGTGGCAGCATGGCCACATGCTGCCACCCACCCATGCATGTTGAACTTCTTTCGCACCGTACATAGCCAACCGTGCTCATCGTAGGTTGCGGGGGGGAAGGACAACAAACTAAAAAAACAAAAAGCGGCTCTATAAACCAATTGAGTTTTCAACGTAGAAGCTTAACCACGACTCTGTTCCCCTTCTTCGGCACACCCCAGGCCCTGCCAGAACGTGACGGAGTTCGACGAGCAAGACGCCTGCGGCTCCAACAGCATAGCTCCCGGGTGGCACCGACCGGCTCCAACATTATTTTTCCACTGACGCATCCAAGCCAGGCTGGGGGCCGTACCGCCGACGTCAACATGCGACGATCGAGTTGGGACGCGTGTGGACAATGCGGCGACGCCGTGTTTGAGTTGACCGACTGACGTCAACCCCACAGTCACGATACAGACATCTCGCGAGGTCAGCGTATCATCGCGGTTCTGGCTACGGCGATTGCCCCTCGCACTGGTTCAGTTCGGACGTGCAATTGGTAATGGTGCAAGAGGCTATCTTACCGCCAATCGCCTGACCACCCAAGAAGCATAACGCATATATGGCTCAGCGTCGCCACGCGAGTCCGTGGCAAGATTCCAAAACTGCCTGTGCAGTCGCGCCAACATCTTCGCTCACACATTTAGAGCTGTTAGCTGTGTACGGAGACTGATTAGGAGAATTTTTACACTGAAGTTGACCCGAAAACAAAACACACGGAGGAAGTCAAAACGGATTGCGGAAAGGAAAAAATCAACTCAAGCACTTCTGCACTCACGCCACAGGAGGGCACGCAAGGAGCGGAGAACGCTAGGCCGGGGGGGGGGGGTGTTGGAACGGACGGGCAGCTGGGAAAGGCGCCAGACCCGCTGTTGGGGTTTTTCCTCGACGACACTCTGCCGAGGAGCGGTTGGCGGGGCGGAGAGATCCGTGGCGGCGGGAGTCGGTCACGTGACCACGCGCGCACCACATCTCGTTCCCGCGCGATTCTCAGAAAACCCTCGGGCCGCCGCTACCGCCGACGTTGGGAGGAGGGGGTTGAGGAAGGGGGGCGGCCGGCGAGAAGAAGTGGGGGTGGCGGAAGAAAACCAACCTGGGCACAAAGATCCAATTGTGCAGGAAGTTCTCGAAGGCCTTCTGGAAGGCCGCGTGCTCCTTCTCCCGATCCAGCTCCGCCTCCTGCTTGGGCCGCGCGCACGTCGACTCGTCGCCGCCGCTGCCGCCGCCGCGGCCGTCGGCGCCGTCCGTGCCGTTGGGCCGCACGCCCTCGTCGATCGTGCCCGACGCGTGGTCCCGAGTCGGCACCTTCAGGCCTGGGACGCGCGCAAAGGACAAAGATGACGAAGTTCCCCGGTGCAGCCCTCTACCCCTTGCCCCGTGTGAGCCGCAATCCAGAGGATTTATTTTGCCGATACTCGTGGATGAACTATGAACGATAAAAGTACTTTTTGTATTCTACCAGGTAAGGCCAACTGAGCTGTATAGCTCTTTTTCAGAAGCGACCTGGCAATACATTATAGCCCGATAAAGTGGCTTATCATGTGGAAATTTAGAGCAGTCGAATACTCGAAACACGTGATGCCAAATAATGAATGCATGTTGATTCTAAATGTGGAGGGAAAAGCCGGAGGACCCGGAGAAAAATCCACGCGACCACAGGAAAAAATGCAAACTCCAAATATACAGGCATCGGGGTTGGAATGAAGCCCACGACCTCTTGTATACCAGGCAAGTTATTTTTTTTGACATACACACGAGTACGAGACTCATTCGCAAGAGTGACCCTGGGGAGATTGATTACACTGGTCAACACACTTTTTCTGGCATAAGGTATTCCAACGGTTTTAAGGTAATTTTGGGGTGCTGATTCCAAATCTGGCATCAGTTTTTGTGTATCACATCAGGTTTTTGAGATATCAAATATTGCATTTTCAATAAAAACTGCAGAAGAAAAATATTAAATAAATGTGGATATCTACATAAAATGATATTATAAACACACTATCCTAAAAATACAGCACCGTATTTTAACACTAAAGCAGTCACTGACTGGCAACAACTTGCAATCATAAGTGACAGAGTTAATTTTGGGTAAAATCAATGAAAATGGGGTATGCCGATAGCATAAAATGAGATGTGATAGAGCAAATCTGAGATCAGATTTGGAATCGGCACCCTGAAAGTAGTCTAAAACAGCTGCAAAAGTCCAGGCCAGAAAAAAATGTTTTTTTTGTGTTGACCAGTGTTATCAACAAGCCCCCCCACCCCCCCCGGTGGCGGGAAGGCTCCGCCGCCACCGCACGTACCGGGCAGGCAGTAGTCGAACTCGTAGAGCTCCGTGTTCTCGGCCTGCTGCTGCCAGCGCACCACGTAGGAGGTCACGTTGCCGTTGGGGAACGCCGGCGGGCGCCACTTCACCAGCAGCTGCGACGAGGAGTTTGACACCGAGAAGACATCCTGCGGCGTCGAGGGCGCTGCGTCGGAGGGCGGACGGGAATGAGGACGTAAAGTTAATGGCGTAGCTCTTATTCATATAAGCTCAACAAAGTGGCTCATCACGTGGAAATGTATAGCAGCCAAACACTCTGAACGCACGTTGATTCTAGGTGCGGGGGGAAACGCCGGAGGACCCGGAGAAAAATCCACGCGACCACGGGGAGAGGGAGAGACGTGAAAACTCCAAATATACAGCAGGCGTCAGGGTCGGGATCGAACCCACGACCCTCCTTCATACCAGGCGAGGCAGTTAACATCTTGCCACCGTGGCGACAAGAAGGCAGCCGTGAAAAATCCGCGTGGGTAGAGCGACGCGCTAGGTCAAACGGCGGACCGCGATTTCAGTCTGGTAAGAGCAGCACGAATTTAGCACCGAATGATGCGTGGATCCACCGATTAAAAAAACACGCTAAAGATACGCGCGTAGAATCGTGCTGCCAGGGAACAGATTATGTGAATTTTATGCAAATTACATGTAAATTATATGATCGAGTAACACCGTGGCAAACATCACAACAACGAAAAACTAGAGACTATACAAATGAGCAAGGGTAAAATGCAAAAGAAATAATGATTCTTGGACGCTGACAATGAGTCCGTGACAATTCATTACATTTCCAAAAGAGGTGAGAATCATCGAATGCCGCGTGCCGATGACGACCACGAAGTGCGATCCCGAGAGAATGGTGACGGGCTTGGGGAAGCCTTCATCCAGCATTAGATCAAAAAAAAAAGGTGGCGTGGCTTTTCATTTCCCACATGCGTGTATGCCCGCGCATGCATCCGCTCACTGCTGGCGTTGGTACGCAGGTAGATGATCTTGCTCTTGGCGCCGTTGTTTCCCCGGCCCTCATCGGACGAGGTGAGGACGAAGGCCTTGACGAAGATGGCGTACTGCGTCCAGGGCTGCAGCCCGCGCAGCAGGATGCCCGGCGACGAGCTGCCCCACGAGCCGCCGCCACCGCCGTTGCCCTTGAGAGGCGGAGGGTCCACGTCGACCGACGTCCAGCTGTTGGAGCCGCAGGCGTCCTGCCCGTCGAACTCCGTCACGTTCTGGTAGGGCCTGGGGTGTGCGGAAGAAGGGGGAGCAGAGTCGTGGTTAAAGCTTCCACGTTGAAAACTCGATCAGCTTTATGGAGCCGCTTTTTGTCTTCTGAGTTTGTTGTCCTTCCTGCACCCCCGATTAGCACGGTTGGCTACGTACGGTGCGAAAGAAGTTCAATAGCATACATGCGTATACTTCACCCCGGAGTTTTAGTTTTACGTTCAAATTTAAGAAGCGGACGATACATGCCTTCTCCGTCACATTTATGTAACTCCACGGAAATTAAAATAAAATCGTTGTTCAAAATATTTTCTAAGCCACACGCAGCCTTCTGGTAAGTCCATCATTTCAGCAGCACAGGTTCAAGGCAAGCAAACTCCAGGGGCAGTTTCAACGTTCAGTGTTTTCACCATCAGCCAGGCTTTCTTAAACAATGCTGGTGACCTGCCCAATGATTACGTTTGTATTACACTCCACTTGCATATTTTATAATTCACTACCCATCTAGCTGGCCATGACCAATACAGATGCTAGGGTTTCATCCCTGCTGGAAATCGTCGCCAGGGCACAGCCAACAATCGCCAATTGCTACTGCCAAGCGGTTCAGAAGTTAAACTATTTTTATTTTGCCAGGTACGTCCCACTCAGCGATAGAGCTCTTTTTTAGAAGCGACCAGGCCGCAAAAGTTAGCTCAACGAAGTGGCTCATCAAGTGGACGTTTATAGCAGCCAAATATACAGGCGTCAGGGTCGGGACCGAACCCACGACCTCCTGTATACCATGCGAGGCAGATAAGTTCAGAGTATTTGGCTGCTATAAATGTTCACATGATAAGCCACTTGGTTGAGCTATCGTTTGTGGCCAGGCCGCTTCTGAAAAAGCGCTACATAGCTCAGTGGGCCTTACCTGGTAAAATACAAATTGTTGTTCATAGTTGTTAAAATCACGCCACTGCGGTGATTCGGCACGGCCCGAGGGGAGCGAGGAAGGTGAGAACCTGGGCAACGTGGCGAGCCAGCGTGGGTTACTTACGCCTCCTTGTAGAAGACGACAAAGCCCAGCAGGTCGCGGTAGTCCGGCAGGCGGTACGACTGCCAGCGCAACAGGATCTTGTCAAAGGTCATCTGGATTTGCGTGAACGTCAGGACCGTGCTCTCGCCTGCGAGCATTCACAAGGGCGGGGCGAGGAAAGGGCCGGCGGTCAACCTCTGCGATGAATCCACGCGTCGGACGAATTGAGGTTTTAAAATGTAGTGCAGGCACGGCGGGACAGAAGCGGCGGCGCAGTGGCTAGCGCGTCATGCCGAGTGCGATATTATGGCCACGGCATTTGACCGGCCATCGAACGACGACGGTCACACCGCATCGTGCGCTTTCAGACGCGCTTCTGCGGCCGTCTCGGAATGCTCTTTCCTTCCGATGTCAGGAAGCCACGGGAGCTATGCACTTTTAAATCATCTGGATTGAAAACTCGTTTCTTTAGAACTGCTTTTTGTGTTTAGTTTGTTGTCCTCCCCCCGCACCTCCGATTAGCACAGTTGGCTAAGTACGGTGCGCGAAAGAAGTTCAACATATGATAATTGTTTTTTTACCTTTTATCTGGCAATAAAACTGACACATTTTTTTTGCCAGATAAAAGTGTAAAAAGCCAATTATCATATTTTTTTACTGGCAAATGAGGTTCCAATGGTGTAAGTTCAACATGCATGCATATATCAGTGGTAAGCGATACCTCGACTGGTTCTGAACCCCCATGTGGCCCACCGCACACTGACCAGATTGTCAACGTTATGGCCACACAACCCCCATGACCGACAAGTGTGGCGAGGGCTTCAAGCTATTTGGACACAGGGCCTGATGAAGGCCTCCCCACCACAACGCCGTTTCTGCCGTCACGGTGGCCGCTCGAACATGCTTCACCACGCGTTGTGGGCTCGTGCAATTTGATCGAGGAAGCTAAGGGGTGAGAGCGAGTGAGCGAGCGAGCTTGCGGAGGAAGAGGGGGTGTGTTCCCAGGGCCAGGAATCTAACTGCGGTCGCCGGGCTTGTCAGGTCGGTGCACGTACACGAGGCCTGGTCCCCGTTGGTCTTGAGCGAGATGTCCGAATCCTCCTGCCGCCCCTTCGTATGGGTCTTCTCCTCCATGGTGTAGATCTCGGACAGGCAGAGCTTGGGGTTGAAGTGGAAGAACATCTTGCCCTTGCGGATGGTCAGGTTGTGTTTGTCCCAGTCCCACAGCTGCTGGAGGTTTTGGTTGTCGAGCACATAAAAGGAGTGGTTCCTGAAGAAATGAATTGAGGATTTAATTAGCAAGTTGCACGTTAAGCCTTTTTCCCGTTCCGAGACATCTGCAAACTGCAGGATGGGTCCCGTTCACAGCCGAATCTCAGAACACGCAAGGCGTAGCGCCGTCGTTTTTTTTTAAGACATTGTGCTCACCGCAGAGAACTGTAGCGACACGACCACGCTCTACGATAGCTGGCGCCAAACTGTGCCACATGCCCTCCCGCATGGCATTGTGGGAGCCTCGGTACCGATAAAGTTATTTTACACATACGTCATGGGAACGGAATCAGAAGAAAATCTGATGATGTACGTGTACATCAGCAGTCTTTCTTGCATGGCATACAAATGACATTGGCAATAATGAAAAAACATGTGTCGCCCGATCTGCTAATTAACTGCATTCATTGTTATTCACAACTAAGTTTGGATGTTAACCGTCGTGCCCCGTGTCCCTTCCCCTTCTGTTTATGACGAGAATCACTTCCTACCCGGGATCCTGGGAGTCCCCGTGGATGGTGTGGAGGTTACGGAAGAAGGAAAGCGAAACGAGCGCGTAGGACCGCTTGATCTTCACCGAGCCGGTCACCTCCTCGATGAGTCCCAGGTTCGCCTCGAGCTCAGTCGCGATGTTGTCTGCGCGCGGAGGGGACAAACGCGGTCGTTTCCACAGCGATTTAGTTTAAAAACCACAGTGTGTTACACTACTACCACGACGCACCAAATGACATTCACACCAAATGTTTATATTGAGCTAAACTGTCAAAACCATAGGTGTTCTGCTTAGTCAGCTGGCAGCCGAGCAGTGAACATTCTGGATAGTCACGTGATCAAGAAATCTCTTCTGGAAGAAAAAAGGGAGGCTTTATATTTATCTATTTGTTTTTTTTTATATAGAAAGATAACGGTCGGTCACAGGCCTGGACTCGAACAGGGGAAGAGTCAACGGCACTTTCCAGACCCACGGGGCGGGGGCAGCAGCAGCTGGGCGCAAAAAGACGATCCTGCGTCGATACCAAGGGCCACACTCATCTGAGCCGTGTGAACTCACCGACAGGTGATAGTCTCACCGTGCACAATGCGCCGCCTGAATCGAGTTATTTCATTAATCACTGTAAACCGCCCCATTTCACGCGTGGCTAGGAAACATTTGATTCGGTTCTTGAAAATAGATTTATAACTCGACGCAACTCTGCTCACAGGTGAATAAAGAAATAAGCCTCCGTATTCCCCCCCAGGGGGCCCATGTCCCGCTGTTTTTGGTCAAAGGCGCGCAACGAATGGATGCATCGATCAATCGATGCAATCGATTCCCGTGCTCGCGAGATGTTAATCGAATCGGTTATTATTATTACTTTACGATAATGTAAATGAAATTTCAAAGAGGCACTGCGTTCAGATTGACGGAATGGATAAAATGGTACGAACGAGACTGAAAATACGCCAAACAAAAGTACAGGGAGAGTGAAAAATTACATACAACGGAAATTGACTCTTGGAGAAAATTACAACCACGAATCATGAGCATGAATCATGACATGCCCGGTGGATGAATAATCAATTATGAATAGAGTCCATTACCGAGGTATATCATTTCTGTGTAAACAATTAGAAAATAGCCCACTAAATTTTCTTCCAACGACGAATGCGCTGGATGGATTGAGAATGACCGAGCGGAGGAGGAGACCACGACTGGGCTTAGTTCGTTGAACTGTGAGGATCTCCCAAAAGCGAACGTTGATCGTTGAAAAAATCGCGTCCCAATGCACAGCAAGAAAAAAAAAAACACCGCATCCCCCGCACCCGCCCTGGATCGTGTCAAAACAGGAAGGATGTGGCCACGTGGGGAGCACGAGGGGCTTCTACCCCATCCCTCCACCCCCGTCCAGTGGTTTTAGCGGTTTGGGGGTACGCGGCTGGGCCCGTGTCCCCCTTTGACCTCCTTTAGCCCACAGCGGGTGGGATGTTTCATCTGACAACGCGGAATGCTGCTGCTGCTGCAGCTGTGGCAGACCGCGCCCGTCGTGACCCCGGTGCCAGCGCGGCCGTGGAGTTAAATCGGTCGCCCGGTCAGCGCCGTTCCCATTGTGGCATCCTGAGGAAGCGCACGTGCGTGTGTCCCGCAGAACAACGCGATGCTCTGCAAGACGCTCCCCCTTATCCTCGACTCGTCCGGCTGACAACGGTGGCGATGCAGTGGAAGGGGGCGGCGTTAGGGGTAAGCAGTGAACGTAGCTTAAATCGAACAAAACTCCAAGCTGTTACTCGCGAAGGTAAGCGGTGCTCGTCTCTTGTCCACAACTCCGAGAGAAGAGTGATGGACACTCCACTTTCTGACCAGAGATTATGTAGATGCACGAATTTTTTCTTGGGGGGGGGGTTAGAATGGCCACAGAGGCGGGGCAGGCGGCTGGGCTTGAACCGCAAACGTCCGCAACAGGTGGCGAACGAGCGATCGCTCGGAGGGCGGCCGCCACCGTTACGCGTGACGCGACTGCCGCTCTATGAGCGAGGCCTCCGCGGTTGGCCGGACGGGATGGAGGTGGGGGGGGGGGGGCCGATGTCGCAGAGGGCCCCCCCCCCCTCCAGGACGGGCCACACTCACTTCCGCCACGGATGTTGATGACGAGGTTCCCTTCGATGATGGTGCAGCCGTGCAGCTCCTGCGCGGCCGTCACCGAGTCGATGACCTTGGTGCCCACGTAGCACACCTTGGGGCAGAGTCCGTCGCACTTCTTGCACGACATGCTGCCGTCGGACAAAAGACAAAGATCCCGTTTTACAGCCTTTACGGATTGTAGGAGCAAGTGCTGTTTGCGAGCACCTATGAAGGCTGGCACAGCACACACCTGGGTGGGTGGCCAGCACCACACCCGGCAGCCTTTGTCTCCCCAGTGGCAATATTTACACACCGCACAAAGGTACTCATTTGAGGCCGAGTCAACCTAGGGGAGGCCCATAACCAGTTCAGATAATTGTCACTGGTGATGTCCATGAGCGGGAATCGAACTCGGGCCACCGGGTTCATAGCGTAGTGCGCTAACCACGGCGCCACCGCTCCCCAAATGCCGTCAGACGGACACACACACACACACACGAGCACAACCACCACGGCCCATCATCGTCCGCAGCAGCAGCACCACAGGCGTCTATGATGTGAATGAACAAATTAATTAGTGCGACTCTTGCCCTATTTGTTAGAGGTGTAACAGTGCATCAACCGATATTGATACAAGAATCAAGCGTCGCTTTGATTGTCGCGGCCACTTTTGGCTACAAGGGGTCACATGACAACATTATATAAAACGTACAATATGATAAAAAGTAAGATTGCAAATGCATGCATCTTGAGCATAACAACTGATTTAGCTCCCAACACAAGGTTCACATTAATGTACCATCGCCTCCGAACATTTAATTGTAATGCTTTTTATTTTACTCATCCACACCGCAACACCCATAGTGGTAAGCATCTCCAGTGCTTCTCACACGACTTTCCTGTGGCACCCAACTTTCTCCGGAATGTTATCCCGATCGCTGTGGGCGCCTTGTCAAGAGCGCCACCCTCCCGTGTGTTAGAGAACAGTCCGTGGAAGAAGATATCAGAGAAGTACTTCTGAGATCCCTTCTTAAGCCCACACAAAGGGGCAGCACTGTCCCCCCACCCACTGACCTGGATAATGTTCGTCACATGACAATCAAACTGATTCGTTAATTGTGTTGAATCATTGATGAAAGTGCTGAGAACCATTCGCTCACTACCACATGAGGACCCATGGTCATTATCGGCAGCTGCCTGGAATCGAACCCAGGATCTCAAATCAACAATGCCAGGTGCGCTCCTAACTTTTAATCAGTAGCAGTGAGATGCCACAAGGCAGGCAAAAGCGGGACCTGTCAGCTTTGTCAAGTATTTGTAGAGCTGTAAAAAAAAAAACTCAATGCTGTAACGCCTGGTTCGTGTTAAAACACTGCAAGGTAGACCTGCAGAGCGGTTAAAAACATCACCCCCCCCCCAGTCTCCACCCCCGCCTTGCGCAACGGGCGGGTAAACAACCGCTGGCAACGGGGAGGATCGTGACCGCCGCCGACACAGACTTGCATAACTCAGATGACTGACACGCGCCTGCCTGACACGTCGATGATTTAAAACGCGACACTGGGGGGGGGGGGGGGGGGTGGGAGATTATTAATACCGCCTCTGGCTTCACACGCCCGCGCAAAAAATCACGACGCTCGCCAGGACAGCGTTTGAGCGCGGGCCTGTGCACTGCAAAGGCCCGCACCTCCGATGAGCACGGTTGGCTATGTACGGTGTGAAAGAAGTTCGATATACGCACAGACCCTGCGTAATTTCGCGCGCAAAAACAGCGGCGTTTTTTATAATTCCGCTGTATTTTTAAACAATCAATCTTCAACGGGCTTTTTGTGTTTTGCTTTCCCGTTTAACCTTCGCGACACTCCAAGGGTTGTCCCCTTCTGTTAGCGCCATGACACAGCTGTGCTTGTGGGGAGGAAAAAAAACACCCAAAAAGGAAGCAGCAGTCAACTGAGCGAGCCGCTGTTCGCGGGAAATTCCGTAAACACCAAATATTTTACTTATTCATCCAGGAAGGCTAAACTGAGGCATAGCACACATTTTCAGGAGGGTCCTGCCACATTGGGTTTCTATTCCAAGATGTTTCCAGCCAATTAACGACGCGTTGTGTTTATCATACACACGTGGAAGGAAAACCGGAGCACCCGGAGAAAACCCACACGCGCAAGAGGGAGCAACGCTCTATCCCCGTGCAGTTGGAAAGAGAATGGCGATTAGTCCACACTTTGCTCTACCGCCGTCTGCTGGTGAGCCAGGGGTACGGCTCCGCCTCGACGCCCACGGGAAGGGAGTTCGCACGTCTGTGCGGCGATTCACCAACCCTCGCTGCCGCCTCCGCAGCGCTGGTTTACAGGCGAGCGATGAACCGGTCTGTGGTGCTCGTCAGACACCAAGTACTTTCTTGTACGAGCGTGTAAACGGCGGCACATCGAGCGCTATTTTAAACGCAGAAACCGACGCACTTTTTTCGTTTGTTGTCCTTCCCCGCACCTCCGATTATCACGGTTGGCTACGTACGGTGCGAAAGAAGTTCAACGTACGTATATACAAACGCACACAACGCGCGCTTTACTAAACCGCGGCCGTGCAAACGCCGCGACGATAATATACGGCGGGCCTTGCAGCTGTTCCTTAAATGGAGAGGCTTGGAATTATTTCCAAACTCAGTGCCGCGCTGGTCACGATAGCCACACCTCCACATCACAAACCAGTGGCCAACCCATACACTTAGTGTGGGTTGGTGAAGAGGGGGGGGGGAGAGGAGGGTGAGTAGCGAGTGCAAGGAAGGAAGACAGGACCAGTTTAGCCCACAGATGCATCGTATGAACGTAACGCAACACGTTCGCCGCGTGAACACCGAGCGGGCGAATCGATTACGCACGCGACTTGAACTTCTTTCGCGCCGCTCACCTCGTCTCGTTCTCCATCGTGTACCCGGACGGGCACTCGGGCCGGCACTCCCCGTCGTGCAGGACCCAATTGATGCACTCCCTGTCCGACAATCCTCCGCCTCCTCCGCCGCCCAAGCCGAGCCCAGCCGACATGGTCCCGGCTCCCACCGCCCCGCCTCCGCCGCCCATCGTCATCATGGGCTGCTCCTCGTTCTCCTCCGCCTCCTTGACGCAGGCTTCGTGCAGCACGCGGCAGAAGGCGGCCGTCACGCAGCGCCAGCCCTTGAAGCGGTAGGTGCCCGCGGGGCAGTCGGGCACGCAGCGGGCGGCGGTGCCGTCCACGTGGACGTAGTGGCGGCAGGCGACGCAGGCCAGGGGGTCGTCGGGTGCGGAGCAGCCTCCCAGGCACTCCTCATGGCAGCAGTCGCCCGCGGAGCTGCAGGCCCGCCGGCCGCACTTGCCGTCGCAAACTGGAGGATGGGAGAGAGAGGAGAAAGGGACGCGCATCGGGATGAAGAGTTTGTATTCTTAGGTAAAAAATTAAAATTAATAAAAGTAAAATAAAAATAAAATCACGACGTTTCGGAGGCAACACAAGCTTCCGTCTTCAGGTGGAACCGTCACAGCACGATAGCTGTATCAAGTGAGAGAAATTCCAAGAAAACAGTCCTTGTATATATACTGGTTGAGGGTGGGAGGAATTTTAATTTTTTACCTACTTGACTTTACCGAAAAACCCTAAGAATATGAATCCTTGAGGTCACGAAAGCTTCAAATCTAGAATGAAGAGTTTGCTTAAATTCACGTTCCATTGTGACCGCATCCGTGGATTGATATTAGGAGTGCCTGGGTGATGATCACGATGTTGTTGTTCACTTGGCTGCGAGGATTGTTTCTCGGCGTGGAGCCGAGTGCGCCCATCCAATAATGACGCTCGCAATCATTTAAAATGTATTTCTTTAGCTGTGTCGGGTGGTAAGGAGGGGAACTGAACGACACTGATTTTCGGTCAGATTGTAACGTGGCCCAACCCAAAAATCCCAAAAGCGCCGATGGCAACATGTTACAAGACAGAGGAACCTCTGGCTCAGTCATCAAACATCGTACACAGCAAAATCAATAAACATAAGCGCATCAAAATATCAAACTGCGCTTCCAAACATTTTAGCTGCCTACCGTGTCCATTGAATTCATGAAGCTAATAAATACGAAGGGGAGGGTGGTTTCGCAGGGAGAGGATGGGGGGGGGGGGGGTGCCGGTGAATTTATCATTGAGAGTCCAAATGAGGTGGAGAGAGTCTGTAGTTCGCGAGGCAAGGGGACGGCAGTGGCGTGTGGTGAATAACGGTGATGGTGAGTTCGTGCACATTGAATTATGAATTGTTAGGGAAGTGGGGTATTGTATCCTCTTAGAATTCGCTGCTCCTCCCTTAAAACTCATTTTTTTCAATAGGGTATCCTTCCACTACTTCCTCTCCTCGTCCTTAAAACCTTCACCCCCTTCCCAACCTCCCTTCCCCTCCCCCAAACACTCAAACCCCATCCCTTTTCCTCAACAGTCAATTACTAATGTACCATTCACAATTCTTATAAAGCGCTTTGACAAAAGCGCCGTATAAAATCCTAGATAAGATGACCGAGGCAATTCGAATTCAGAACTTTAGAATACAGATTGTTTGCACTGGCTTCAGAAGGCCCTAGGCCTGGGGTTGACATTGCAGCTACGCCGATTATGAAGGTGATAATACCACACGTGCCGTTGGCATTGTTAATAATGTAATAATTACAACCCCTTTGCCAATCAACCGCTGGATGAAGGTCGTGTCGGGGTTGCGTGGCCAGGTGAATGAAAGGGGTGGGGGGGTTGGCCTCGGACCGATTCAGGTAATCACTTGCTACTATCTTGATTTGAAGCTTTCGTGACTTGCTACTAACCACGATGGCCACGACCGGGAATCGAACTCGCCGCCGTGGTGCTCGCTACGACAGCAGTCGTGTATCGTCGAGAAGAACAAACTCGCAGGTGAGCAGAGAGGACGGTTTACGTGAAAATCCTACGCAAATCACAATCGAATCCGGTGACGGATCAGCCCATCATTGAACGCCTTAATAACTAAACTCTCCTTTCAAAATGTCTTGAAACGTTTCCAGTATCCACATGTTTTCTTTTTGTAGCAGAGAGAACAAGACGAGCTCTCTTATCGAGCTCGGAGTGTGCGGGCTTGCAAAAAAAAAAAATCTATTAAAAAAATAAGCAGTTTAGCGGGCACTCGTCAGCGGTTAGCGGCTATTTGTCACCCGGTCACGAGCGACAGCGGTTTCGCATCGTACCAATTACCAGCAGCATATTAAATGATCCCGAGGCTGACTTGCCAGGCAGACAGGCTTAACAGCCATTCTAGATTACACTTGATAACGCTTTCCACCACCGCACCACCCCCCGACATTTCTTTCTTGTTCACCGCGTCGCTTTAAAACGTCGAGCAACTTAAACGAAACCGAGAGTGTGTTTTTCAACATTACAGTCCGCCAACTAGCAGCCGTCGATGAAGACGCAAATTCGGGCGCCGCTGCCGGCCCGCCCGCCCGCCCACGGCAGCTTGGTGACAGCCCCAGGAGGAGGCACAGGAGGAGGCGGCAATGCTCCCTAATTATGGGCCCTGCTCAGAGTTGCGGATGCCGCGCAAGCCCGTCTCAACTGGCGATAGATTCGACTACGGCTAGGCGCGGTGGGGGGCGGGGGGGCGGCGCGCCCCAACGGATCTCCCCCCCGAGAAAGTAGCGCTGCTTCTTGGTGAGAGAGAGGGGGGTGGGGGGGCCGTGGCAGAGAAATTTTAACGTGGCACAACAACAAGGATTTCCCCCCCCCCCCCCCCCCGTCATCCCGTACACAGCGAGCACGTGGCCGGCCGAAATTGGAATGGTGCCCGTCGCGTCTGGCGCCTGAGCAACCCCCGTTGTAATACCTCTGGCTGCATTCGATGACCTCCCGTGGCAATTCGGCAAATGATGCAGATAAAGTTGATTGATTAATCTAGCGCTCGACGATTCATCTCCGGTCACTCGTTCATCAGCGGTCAGTCGCCGCCTATTGCTACTGACGCCATGGTTGCTGTCCCCATCAAATCCTCGGTTCTTTCGGTAAAGTCACGTAGAAGGGAAATAATAAAATAATAAAAATAAAACAATAAAATAATTCTCACGACGTTTCGGCCACAACGCAAGCAGCCGTCCTCAGGTGGAGAACAGGTCTGTCGAGAAGACAGAGACAGACTCTGTCTTCTTTTATTATTTTATTATTTCCATTCTACGTGACTTTACCGAAAGAACCAAGGTGACAAACCTTACTAATTGTCTGTGTTGTGTGGTGGCAGGTTTAACAATACATGATATTTACGCGATCTAACCCAAAAACCTCTTGTGAATAAGTGCTCTACAGCTCATCGGATTCCTCCAGCGTAAATAAAGACTCCGATTCTGATTTAGATCCTGACACATCGCTGCCCAGTTGCGACGAGCCCTGACCTGGGAATCGAACCGAAGTGGTGCCAGTTCACCGTGCCGGCACGGCAACCGAGCGCGCCGCTTGTTCAAAACAAAAGTTTCCACTGAGCGGAGCGAGATTACGGTCTGCGGAAGACGACGAGAACGACGCACGGGCGCACAGCGGCAGAATCGGCCGGGCCACGCTGATGCAACCCCAACTTGTTGGGAATGAGAAGTTTACTTCCCCGAGTGAAGCGCCACTGATCGCGCGCCGTCCACCACCTTCACGGAGGTACAGGTGTGTGTGTGTCCGTGGTAGAGGGGTGAGTGCGTGTGTGTGTGTCTGTGGTTGTGGGGGAGCGGTAGTGTCGCGGTTAGCCCGCTGCACTATGAACCCGGCGACCCGAGTTCGATTCCCGCTCACGGCCAACACCAGTGACGCTTATTTGAACCGGTCCTGGGCACCCCCTAGGTCGATTCAGCCTCAAATGAGTACCTGGTGTGGTGTGTAAAAACATCGCAACTGGGAAGACAAAGGCGGTCGGGTTCGGTGCTGGCCACCCACCCCCTAGTGTGCTGTACCGGCCTTCATAGGTGCTCGCTAGCAGCACTTGCTCCTACATTCTGTTAAGGCTATACGGGTGATCTGTCTTTGTGACGTGCAGCAACAACAACAAACAACAAAAACTCGGTAGAACCTAAAATTAAATAAAAGCTTTTCCAGCAGCCACAGCAAAGAATTCTGAAACCTGTTTTTAATATAGCAGAGCCTGCAATTAGCCGTAGGGTCCCTCTCGTCTCGAGCAGAAAGTGACTCACGCGATCATCATCGGGGTGTGTGGAAACAAAGAGGGCGCTTTGTGCGGCTTCATGTTTTTTTTGGAGCCTCAGATTTTGAACAAAAAACTGCAGAAAAACACACCTTTCTTGAAGAAAAACAACCCCCCCCCCCCCAGAAAACAAAGGAATGAACTACACCAGGAAGATCGTGAAGCAGGTGCCGTAAGAGTTTCAAAAGCAGGCTCGGTTTTTTTTGTCCTTTAAGGACATGTCACCCGGTTGCCATGGTTTGTTATGCTGCTAAAGTGCACTGGGGACTTTCAATCTGGAGGTCGCCGGTTCAATTCAATCTCCGAGCATGGCAGCTGAAACGATGGTGCGAGTCTCTAAAATCCCCGCCAACCCGCACCCCTCTCACACCGCTTCTGTCCACCTCGCAATGTAAACGACACTAAAACTAAACAATTTTTATCTTACCAGGTAAGGCCCACTGAGCTACGTAGCTCTTTCTCAGAAGCCACCTGGCCAGAGATGATAGCTCAAGGAAGTGGCTTATCATCACGTAGACATTTATTGCAGCCAAATACTCTGAATGCGTGATGTTGATTCTACATATGGAGGGAAAAACCGAAGGAGAAAAATCCACGCGACCAAAGAGCAAGAGACATCCAAACTCCAAATATATAGGTGTTAGGGTCGGGGTCGAACCCACGACCCCCTGCATACCAGGCGAGGTCGTTAACATCTCGCCACTGTGGCACCTAGGTAGTTGACGCTGGTGGGGGTTCAAGTGTGGGTAAGCAACTTTAAATTGAAAACGATTTCCCCCATCTCCTATGTTCAGAGGGTGAAACGGGCCTCGTGTAAACTTCCCGGCATTGTTTTTTCATGCGACGGGGAGCGCCACCCCAAGACCGCCGTTCGCTCGCGAGCGTCATGGCGCCAGAGGTCGCAAACGAGTTTTGACTCCTTACCTGTACCCGTACCCGGCCGCACCAGGGTCGCAAACGGGTACCCGTACCCGTACCCGGCCGGGTACGGGTAACCGGGTATCGGGTAGGGTACGGGTATCGGGTACCCGGTTGCAACCTCTGCCTGGCGCTGGCGAGGCGAGCAGCACGGCACCGCCGCCGCCTCGTTCGTCTTTTCCGAGCGCTGTGATTCACCGACTTGCCGATTGTAACAAACGGCCGTCAGATGTATT